GGGGGGGGGGGAGCGAAATTGCAGGGTGGGCGGACGTGGGGAAAATACATTGACAGCTCCAGCAACAGTTTTGATATGGCTCAATGAGAATACCTGGCTGGATTCATGAAGAGAGGAGTGCGTTCGGAAACGCTTCCGGGCCCGCCCTCTCGATATCGATAACGGGATCGTAACCAAACACCAACTCAGTCAAACAACATCTGAACTGAGCGGAGATGCCAGGCATGGACGGCGTGCAAGCAGCAGCGCAAGCTTCGGCACGGCCTGCTTCACGACAAGGAATCAATGGTCAACCCCGTGCGGCATCATCTCGTGCTTCAACAGTGGACCCTCGTGCTGGCCTTGCTCCTCGACATATCATTCCTTCAGGGACGCTGTACTCAGTTGAGCATCCCGCTTCCAAGATCACCAATATCGACAAAGCAATCAAAACATTGGGTGGGCAGAAAGGAATAGACAAGGTTTGCACGTTTTCAGTCGAAGCACCGATGTTTTTGGCTAACAAGATGGGCAAACAGTTTGTCTTTGCAACCGCAGAGGAAATTCACACAGAACCCCACGCACCAAACATGTCCATAAAACCCCTCCTCGAACTGCGCATGCGTCCAGACGACCACTACAGCCACCCCATCGCCGGCATTGACCAATCAGTCCAAAACATCCTCATCCGCATAACCCGCCGCAAACTCAAGTCCGCACCCCCCACCCAAAAAGGCGACATCCACAAAATCGAAGCAATCGGCGTAATCGAACGAACCGCCCGTTTCCGTGATCTCGCAGATTTCCAAATCTGCACCGGCGACTCACCCTTCCAACAAGACTTTGGTGCGCGAATGGAGTCGATGTCACTCGAGCGCATCATCTCCTACAAACCCCAACCAGACCCCGCAGACCTCGCTTCGGAACCCTGGGATATGCAACCACCGCCATTGTGGTCAAGAGATTACGTACCCGCGAACTACCATTACAAAGCCAACCCCGCCTCCATAAAATTCAAACCCCCCAACGGACCCGTACAAATCATCAACAAAAACCGCGCACCGAAACTCTTCAACATTACCGTCACTTACGACATCCCCAGTGTCCCCACCGAGCCCTCCCGCGCGCTCAAGAAGCCCTCGACGCTAGAAATGGCCGTCATCGCGAAACTGAGACAATTGTTCCGGGAAAGGCCGTTATGGACACGATGGGGACTGAGGAGGGAGATGGGAATGTATAATCCTGACTATCTACCGAGCCTGAAGAATTGTCTCGCACACGTCTGCTACATCTGGAAATCTGGACCATGGCGAGATACGTACTGCGCATACGGCATCGACCCCCGTACCTCTCCAGAATTTGCGAAATATCAGTGTTTGTTCTTCATGCTTGGCAGGAAGGCTGGGGTGTCGAATGTGAAGGTGGTCACGGAAGGCCGGAACGAATCCGGGAAAGGGTATCCGGATTACCGTTTTACTGGACACCAACTGTCCACGCCCGTCCGTGCTTACCAGGTCTGTGACGTCACGGATCCTTTGTTGAAAGATATCATTGAGCGCGGGGAGCGGGATTTGAGGGAGACGCTGAGGGAGAGGAGTGGCTGGTTCAGGGGCGGAGTCTGGAAAAAGGTGAGGAGAATCATGAGGGCGAAACTGGTTGCGCTCAATGGTGACCCACCGCGGGTTATGAGTGATGCGGAGTTCCTTACTGAGTTGAATGCACCGGAGGAAGATGACGAAGAATCTGTCGATCCTGAAGAAGAAGCCGATGCCGAAGGCGATGATGATGAGGAGGAAGAGGAAGGAGAAAACGGTGAAGAAGGAGGAACGAAAACGAGGAAGAAGTTGGATGAGAGGGTAAATGAGTTAATGAGGAGTTTGGGCATGATGGAGCAGAGCCAGGAACTGCAGGATTCGGAGGAGCCGACAAGGGAGGGGGAGTTGGAGGATGAGTTTGCGTTGTTGGAGGATGATGGGTAAACGACACCCTCGGAAATCTGATACTATCATGATATTCACAAAATGCTAGGACTCGTCCTTGTCCGTACTCCCCGCTACCTGGAGAGCTTTAAGTTGGACAATGGCGCACCGAAAATGCAATCATAGTGGCAGGCGGCACAGTCTGTCTTGACTACGTTACAGGAGGAGATGACCATGGTACCAGTGGTGGATGTCGATGTCGCTGCGGGTTGTTGCGTCATGGTTGGGCCCGGATGCGCGTGAGGTGCTACTGATTATGAGTGTATGGATCTGGCAAGGTCGAACAGACGTATCGGAGACTTTTTGTCATGCGGAATGGTTGGAGAGAGTACTGTATATGAGTGCTTTCTGTCATTGATACTGCTGTGTGCAAAATTCTTGACGCGGCGCATTTTACCGCCTATCTGCGCGGGGATAGTTTCATGAACCCCCCCATCTTCATAGACAAGGCTTGGGAGGGCGATTTCAGGGTAGAAGTCGATAGATCAGACTCTTAGGAATCGATAGATGTCCTCAAAACGCGTGTAGTACCGTTTCTCATAGAGTTGTGACATTGGGGGTAGTCAATCCTCTACAAAATTTACAGCGAATCAGATTATAATCCAGAGGATAATACGCTAAGGTCTGACAAACCCTTACAAAACATAGACGGATTATTTTTTCAGTAGGCGGTTAGCTCCCGCTCACGTGCAGCATGCAATGCACGGTCCACCGTGCATAAAACCGCAACTCCAAAACGCGACGCATAACGAACAACCCAATGAATCCAGGCTGGTTTTCGACCGGATTACCGGTCCCTACGACCAATTATGGTGGTCCGCTTACACCGGCACCCTCACATTACGCGCAGCAGCCAGGAACCCCTGTTTCCCTACCCCAATCCACACTCCCGCCCTTGATAAACATACCAAGCCCAGCCATACCAGCCAACTCAGCCTCTGGACGCATCAAATGGAAGGGCCATCGTGAAAACAAGCTCGCTGAATGCTATATTCGTGACCATGAGGCTTATGACTCTTATCGCAATCCAACCATCAAAAAAAGGGTTGGGGACGGACTTGCTGGCTATGGGACTGGAACCCTACCCTAAGGTCAAAAATTGTATCCAGCACTTCGCTATGCAGTTCAAAAAGGCTTATGCGCATGAGAACTCGACCGGTTCAGGTGACACCGAGCATCAAACCCTTATTGAACAATGCCTCGAGATCTGCCCTTGGTATGATGAATTCAAGGCAATCTTTGGAACCCGACCCAAGGTCACACCTATCAGTGGCATCACTTCTACAGGCTTTACAGTGTTTCCCAATTCCCAGGGTGGTACCAGTTCTGGCGCAGAAAATGACGAAGACGGTGACTCGGGTGAAGGCTCCAAGGATGATTCAGGCAGCCAGAATGAGTCCCAACCAGTCAACATCACTCGAAAACACAATGCACCTACTCCCCAGCCCAAAGGGAGTGCCAAGAAGTCGAACAGTTACTGGACCAGAAGGAAACAGCCGCAGCTCTGCGCCGTATGAAGCAAGAGGCTTATATTGCTTCACTCGAAAGAGAGAAGGAGAAATACAGGTCCCGCCGAGCAGCGACGGAAGCAGAGACCAGTGGGAGGATCATCTCTCTGCGCATAGAAAAGGAGCATGAGTTTAGGATGAAGCAGCTTCAGATGTATTCAGAGCTCAAGTTACATGAACAAGGCATCACACTGGCAGATTATATGAACTCCTTGGGCCTTTCGACAATGGCGAAAACTAAGGCGGCGAAAACCAAGGTTTCGCCCATGCAGAACTCCATGAAAGCGATTGATGACGACGATTGCCTCGAGATATCCTCGGACTATGAGCCTTTAGAGTCTCCTTCCATTCGCCGTGGATAATACCCCATGCCCGAGGAATTATTCCCGTCCGAAGGGTTTTTCCCACGGTTTTTGAGGAGTACGGAGTTGGTTGGGTTGTCGATGTTTGGTTGGTGAATGCTTAGACTGCTGTAAATAGGTAAATTGACGATAGAGGATTGAAATATAAGTGTAAATACTGCATTTGGTGTGTTCATTTCCCATGCGCTCAGTGGTCAGCTCGATTCCCAACCTTTGTATCAAAAGTCTCCATATCCTCACGGTATTTGCTGAAAAGGTCAGTACGGCACATTCGAGGGCGCGCTCGAGCGCGGTTTCGATCTAAATGCGCACGTATATCATCGGGGTGATCTCCCTCGAGGTCCACGTTTACATTTACCAACCATGATTCGTCAATGTCCGCGGATTCGCGGAGATTGAGTATATTGGCCAGGACAATGCAAGATGCGATCCATCGAAACAGACCTTCATTGGTTCCTTCAGAAACGGTCATGGGAAGGCACTGTAACGACCCGAAACGAGCTTTCAACTCTCCAATGGTATGCTCAACCGTGACCCTTATATGGGAAACTTCACGGTTGAATCCAGCTTTCTGGGCCGTGTAACCTTGATTCTGCTTGAAGGGGGTGACAACTGACATGGTATTGCTGTATGCTGAGTCCGCAAGCAGGTATTCGGTGGGACCGAAGTATGCCTCTGGATCTAGGTGCAGCGGTAAATCCTTGTAGGCAGTTGAATCATGTTGGGAACCAGGTAGAGAACAATTAAAATGTCTTATAAGACGCTGATCATCACAAACAATGGTTGCCTGAAGGCCGTACTGAATAACATGGGTAAGCCGTTGCCGTTAAATGCTTGATAAGGTTCTATAGAGTGACCTACCTGCTTTTTGCGCTGACAGAGGTAGTCCAGACGTCGCCGTTTGTCGAGTTTTGGCATCCAGGCAAAGGGAAACAGGGTCCCATCGACAATACCGACTACTCCCTCAAACAACCCAGCGCTGGATTACTCGATCCTTTTTGCAATAGTCTCCCGCTCGTTGGGGTTCGGCCATTTGACGTAATCTTCGTATAATGATGATAAAGCAAGGCAAACACGTCGAGTGAACACGGTTAGGGTGCCCTTACCGATTCCAAACAAGTCAGCCGTTTTCGACAATGATGAACTAGTAGAACCTTGTGTGCCGAATCGAAAGAGGATACAAGCCAGCTGATACCTTACTGATGCTTGTTCACAAGCACTGTTGTTGTAGAACACCGGGTTGGTCTCGATCAGACCGAGGACGAAATGAAAATCTTCTCGATTCATTCTGTAGTACGAGCATTCGTCGAGGTCAAGTTGATCCGTAGCAGCATTTTCTAAGCTATTGAAATGGTCCGAGATTGACGGTGGGCTAGACGGCAATTCAGCGTCTCTGGACTGTCGATAACGAATGATTGCGTTGTGCAGTTGTCGTTTGAGGCTCTTTTGAGGCATTTGGGAATGGTAAGTAAATATCCATGGTGGTGAGTCTCCCTCGAGGCAGCTACGCAGATCATGCGCAGACCCTGAGTGATATCTGCATGAATTTCCTAATTGGGCGCATCCGCTCGCCCGTAGGCGATTATTTTTTAAGCGATTAATTTTTACGACCCTGCTCGTCGTTCTGGTATAAAAGTAATCGATGTTTATGCATAGTAGCCATGGCAACCGCGCGATTAAAACTTAAGCGATTATTTTTTGTAGAGGATTGACTACCCCCATTCAGCGTCCCAATCATGAACGGGTCCTGATCATTCCACACCCCTAAATCTTCATTTCACACCCCGGCGCACTCACAATTTCAAAGATATCTCAACAGCCATTGAACTTGGGAATACGGTAAGAGCGTAGAGAGATAGAGAGTAACTTTGTGAATATCCTGATACCTTTGACTCGCAGATTTCACTCCACCAGCTGCTGTACTCTGCCAAATACTGCTGAGATGTGATGTGCAGATTTATGCATATATGCGCTGTGCCACACCAGCCGCAGCGCCGGGCTGAGAGGTGAGAAACAGTTGGTATCTTCTCCCAGGAACCTTCAAATCCGAATTTGAAGGTGGGAACGGATTCAGGGGACTTTTATCAGTCTATACAATCTCTACCCTCCGAGATCCGATTTGCGGTTGGCGAGATATCCTGAGTTTTTTGTTGGCGCTGGGGTGTGAAATGAAGAAAATGGGGTGTGGAATGATCAAGACCCATCATGAACCGCTAATCATACAAAAGAGATGACATCATCACCTCAAACAATCAAACTCCAGTGTCGCGTGAGCCCTGTATCCTTCTATGCCCTCGTCGACACCATATCATCCTCCACAGGATCTTCGGTGCTAGTCCTGAGACTGACACCTTCCACACTCTCCTCCTCATCCCTATACCTCCCCACAAACGGATTTGCCCCATCACCTCCCTCCACACCCCCATCCACAGAATCTCTATACGCATCCTCAACAGTCCTCCCCTCCACATCCGCCCTCGCCTTGGCTTCTTGCTCCAACTCGGCCGCACGGTGCGATGTCCGCTTGTAAATAATATACCCCGTGAGCGACCCCATGAGTGACCCAACCACAATGGACGCGTAATTGATCATCTTCGTCTTATCATCCGCCTCCGGTTCCGCTGCCAAATGCGCCAACCTACTCCCAATGAAAACATGGATGAGGTACTTGGGCGAGGAGACCAGCGTCGCGATCGCAAAGTGTTTCGCGGACACGGTCGGCACGGTACTCATCGCCCCATTACTCAAACTAAACGGAAATGGACACCACCGGATCAAACACAACAATCTCAACCCCTCATGTTCCAACACCGCACAAAGCGCCATGAACCTCCTATCGCTCCCCGCCTGTTTGGTCATCCAGTTTCGGAAGAACGCACGACAGATGAGGAATGCGAGGGTTGAGCCGAGGGTTAGGGCGGGGACGACGAGGAACCAAGCATAGGGGAAGCCGTAGAGGAAGCCGGCGAAGGTTAGGGTTGAGGAGAAGCCGAGGAGTGGGGGAAATGACGCGATCACGATTAATACGAATGGGATGATCCAGCCGAAAGGGTGCTCTCTGTTGCATTCACTCGGTTAATAAATTGGAAAAAGAGAAAGGACACAAGGACAACATACCTGATTCGCTGTCCATAAGGCTCGATAAATGCCAAGATCTCCTTATTCCAGACCAAGAACGAGACGGTCAACGTCGCTGCCGTACCAAAGAACAACGCGAAGAAGATCCGTTGTTTCCAGTTCATGGCACGTATGGGACTCAGAAGTCCCACTACCAAAGACTGTATCCGAGCGGTAGTCGTGGCCATGAAGCGGCCGGTCTTGGCGGTTAGGGAGGGTGAATGCTGTTGATCAGCGTCGTCGGGAGGTAATGTGAGAGGCATATTGCTGGACGCAGCGTTACTCGTTGTTGTTGGTTGGTCAGATCAAATGGACAGAACGAAGGATTGGTGGTTGGTGGTGAAGCCGGCCTTCCCGGAAGCGGCACATGGAGGCTCTGGGGCCGACGGCTATACCGGTATCATGTACGGTGACGAGAAATGAACGCGCAGGGGGCAAATTAATAGTGGTATAGATGATATGCTGACCTCAAAAGAAAACTCCATACTCCAAGTTTATGTCCCGTGGCAACACCCTCCACAATCGTCCTTGTCTTTCCCTGCAATAGTTGCCTTCGTCCTCGTCCACTGATCAAACATCCCCTTCTTCCCCCCTCCTCCTGTGCCCATATCCTTCCCAGTCCCGACCTGTAACTTACCCTCCGTTCCCTGCTTAACACCCAAATCAACAAGCGGAACCATACTCGGCCTCCCATGCGCACACTGAAACGGAAACGCACACCCCGCCAATGCCTCCACCAAGACCCTGCATTCCTCGGTAGTCAAGGGATCGTTGAACATGATCGCACTTCGGCAAGCGCGGGAGTTGATCATTTCGATCATTTTTGGCGGACAGGTGCGAATGCGGGTCAACCAATCCTCGGAGCTGGAAGTGGAGGTGGGCGGAGGTGGGCGGAGCGGGCGACCAGATGATTCGAGGGAGTAGAGATAGTCTCGGACGAGGTCTTGCAATAACCGGGGTTCCGCGACACATCTCTCCGCAATCAACGGCGGAAGATGCGTACACACAACCTCCACATGCTCTTCCTCGTCTTTCACCCCTTTACCCTCCAAGATGACTCCCCACCACGCCAACCTCTCCCTCCACACCCCCAACACCCTCCCCTCCCTCCCACTCAGCCTCACCACCACCCGTTTATTCAAAATCACCCTCCTCACCCCCTCTTGATCGGAATCAAGCTGGCATAGTTCCGTAAAGAACCGCTCAACACGAACCCTCTCATCCGCCGCATGTTGGTCAATAATAACCAAGACATCCTCACCCTCCACCTCGACCCCATCCTCAGCCTTCATCTTCACGAGTATGAACTTCCGATCAACCTGCGCAACAACCACACAGCTCGCCAACGCCTTCTTCGTGAGTCGAAATCCATTCTTCGAACTCGACGTATTGGCCGAGAAATAGCGGGATATCTCGACATGTGAAGATCGTGTCTCGACCACGGCTGCGGATGAAAGTTGTGGGATCGCGAGCTCGGTGTTGCCGAAGACGGGGTTTTGCCAGCGTGCGACGAGGGTCTCCGCAAAACCTCTTCCAGCACTACCGCCTGTTCGACGGAGACTGCTTCTATCCACTTTGACTCCCGTCGCGAAGGACGGGTTTGCCGAGGATGCTGTAAGCGGTCTTGAGGTGGATGTTGTTGGCCGTGAAGATGGTGGGCGTGCGGTACCCGGACGGGAGCTATACGTGTTTCCCGTCCGCGTATCCAATAAATACTTCTTGTTTGTCATCGGATCGACCCAATCCACCAATTCCATTCCCATTTTCGGCCCCTCACCCCCCGTCGTATTGTCGTCCCCGTTGCAGTTGATGATCGCACTCCCAGTCGGATGCGCGACGACCTCGACCGCATTCGTTTTGTTGATTGCGGGTTTGAACAGTGTCCTGCCTCGAAGCTCGTTATCATCCATCCGCGCTGCTCGGATCTTAGATGGGCGTTCCAACTCCGGTAGCTTCGAGAAACCACCACGTTTCCGTGGTATACGGAACGGATCGACAATCTCGTCCACCTCGCCCACCATTGCCTGATCCCTTTCTGCTGAAACTAAGTTGAGTGATGCGAGGAATCCTTTCACCATCGATGCAAGAAGTGTGGTGATGAGTGGAAGTCGCTGTATGAACAGAAATCAGCATTGATTATTGAAGGAGCAAACAAACACACCTCAGTCTCGACAACGCTCTTACTCGGATCCAGACAAACATCATAAGCCGATAACGCACAGGTAATCTTAATCACATACACAGGATGCCGATCCACATTCTTCCTCGGACTTTTCCTGACAGCCGGGGCATCGAAATCACGTTCGCCAGCATCGTCTTCGTCGGTTCCGTGAACAGCGAAAGACGAGTTTGCGAAGAGCTTTGAGACTGTGCGGTGGAGGTCGCAGGGTTGTAGGAGACGGTCGTTGAGGTAGATGTACTGATGCTGTTTCGAGCCGTGACCATTTAGTCCCATGACACCACGCATACTGACTCCGCCTGCGCTCGCTTCAAGATTCCGCCACTCACGCACCAAATCTCTGCCATATGCTTGTCTAAGCATCGTTATCTCATTATTATCCTTCCTCTTCCTCTTCAGCGAGAGAATCTTCGCACCAGTCTCATCCCTCAAAGTGAAAGCAACATCCGGCTTTGCCACCGTAAGTCCAACAACAGCCCTCCTAACCTCCCCTAACTCATCAACCCCCGCCAACCTCCTCGCCTTCCTCCTCACCGGCAACGTCGAAAACAAATCATGAACACTTACAACCGTCCCCTGACCCTGCAAACTCTCATTCTCGCTCGCGCGGCCAGAGAAAATCCGGGATGAGGATTGGAGACGAACGGTGTGGGTTGAGCGGTAGGTTGTGTGCCGGGATGTGATTGTTAGGAGGGAGATTGCGGCGATGGAGGCGAGGGCTTCGCCGCGGAAGCCGAAGGAGGAGATGGAGGAGAGGTCGTTGAAGCCCCGAAGTTTTGAGGTGGCTTTATGCAGGTTATGTCAGTGAGCAGGATTCTAAGGATCGCAGATGACATACCGTATCGCTGCCCGATCTTGTCCATATCCTCCGGTAGAATACCCGTGCCATTGTCCGCAACCGTCACAGAACTCCGCGATAGGGAAACTGTGACGTCAACACTCGTAGCACCCGCATCAATACCTGGCCGAATCAATCAGCATACATCTCCGACAAGAAGAACAACCACATACTATTCTGCGCAAGCTCCGACACACACTGCGCCAACGACGTGATATTCACCGAAGATCGTAGATGCTGAACAGTCGCATCAGGCAAGAAATTTATCGACATGCCGGGTCCATCGATCGCAGTTCACTGGTCGTCAATGCTCTTTGCGTTCGGACCCTTTGGTGTTTTGTTTGTTGGATTTTAAGGTTGGGCGCTGCAGTAGGACAGGGGGGGGTTTGGGGTGGGTGCGTCCCGGCAGCTGCGTGATGACAATGGACATGCTCGAGTCTGGGAGGCGACCTTTGACAATTGGAAATACCAACGTTCCAGTGATACACCATGAGTGATACGAATAAGGAAGGTAGACCGAAGCCCGCTGCGATGGCTAGAGAATGCCAGTGCTGAGATCGAGGCCTACAGTCCAAACCGTGTTCAACAACACCCTCTCAACCGACAAACCAGCCGAAACACCGGGTGCTCCGTCTGGATCATCAGGGCCGAGTACTGTGTTCAACACTAGCTTGTCGACGGAGACGCCTGAGGACAAGAAGGCTGCGGAGCTGAGGTATGAGGAGGCGATCAACTTGGAGTATGAGAAGAGGGAGGGCGGTGCGTAGTTGTCAATAGTTCAGAATTTATCTGGTTTGCTTCCCGTCTAAGCAGCTGTCACGTCAATTGCGATTGCATGCGATCATCATGCTTGTTGCAGCTGCGTGCCAGTCAACGGTCAATTTTTGATCGATTAAAGACCAGAATGCCTGACATCTTCTCAATCTGGAGGAGGTTCGCTGAAGTTGTCTGAGATAGGGAACGAGACGACCAGTCTGCCAATACAGCGTCCTAAAAGTCCAGGAAACCCCTCCAAACCAACCTTCCCCCCCTCCCTTTCTCGCTCCCAAGGCTCCCCACACGTGCGCCAACGCACAACCCGCACCACACCGCAGCACCAGCCACGCCAACGCGACAACCGAGGCCAGCGCAACACCAACACGTAAATCAAACAACCATACGCAATCGCAATGTCAGACCAGATCAAGGAATTCGCTGAGGTGCCTAGGGAATTTTTCCGTGATGGAAGTCAGGTGCGAACCTCTTCCCTCTCCCGCTTGTCGTTACTCCGTTCTCGTCACTCTCTCCGGCATGCCCATGCCCATGCTCGATACCGATGACTCCAGAACGACACAAGCTCAGGGGATACCAGCGCATTCAAAAAACATGTATACTGACAACTGCAACAGTTCATCAACCGCTGCACTAAACCCGACAAGAAGGAGTTCATCATGATCTCCAAGGCCGTCGCAATCGGATTCTTGGTGATGGGATTCATTGGGTTCATTGTGAAGCTGATACACATTCCTATCAACAACATCTTGTATGTCGTTCCCATCTAAGGGTCTGGGAAGTTGTGCTAATGAGGTGACATAGGGTTGGATCTGCATAAGCGGGTTGTACGTTGAAGGAAGGGACGGATGAGATAAGCTACGAAGAAGGTGTCCGAAGTAACAAGAGCTCGAAGAGATTTTGGAGAGAGATTCATAGCGATGGCCGGGCAAACGTTACAGACGGAGGATCAGGATCTAAATACCCAAAAGGTTGGACAGGGCTTTCTGCACCATATCAAATCACCAATAAACAAAACGCATTTCGATTGAAAAGTCTCGTAGCAAATAACGCCATACTATCAGTAATTCCAGAAATCCCTTGACCAATATCCGCCCAACACAAAATCTACTCATCCACATAACTCTCATCACTATCCTCCTCCTCCTCCCCCTCCAGCTCCGGTACCTCCTCCCACTCCTCTCCATCCGCGTTTCCCCCACCCTCCCTCCACTCATGCACCATAACAGCCCCACCCGCATCCCCCTCCCCAAGCCAACTCGTGCTCGCAATACAATCCCCATCCGGATGCCAACTAACATCCCTCACACACGCTCTCCCAAATCCCATCCACAACCTCTCCCTCTTCGCCCGTTCCCTTCTGATCTCAGAATCGTCGTGGGGGTCATCGGAGGGTGGGAAGGAGGAGGAGAAGTGGAGTCGGGCCGCGTCGCGCATTCCGGCAGTTACGTCGAGGATTTGTGAGACTGTACCGTCGAGGTTGTAAATATGGACTTTCCCGTCCTCGCTTCCAGAGATAACTTTGCCGCCGCACCCCTCAGGCGCGAAATGACACCGGATCAGCGTTTTGAGGACAGAGTGTCCGCGGTACGTGACGACAGACGTATCACCCTCAACCCTCTCCACCCTCGGCCCCGGATACCGCATATACCGATAATCGAAATGAGTTCCATTATGTCTCGCATACTCCACCTGAGCCGTCGCATCGAACTTCTCTACGGACGTCAAGCGACGAAGATCCCAGAGTTTCATCGTCTGGTCTTTTGAGTTTGAGAGGACGTATCGGCCGTCGCCGCGGCCTTCGACGAAGGTCACGCCTTCGGTGTGTCCGAGGAGGATACCGGATTCTTTGGTACCGGAAATACCGAGGGAGCGGCGGTCCCAGACTTTCAATAGACAATCGTCGGAGCCGGAAACGAGGATGTTTGAGGAGGCGTCGGCGAAGGAGACGGCGTTGACGTCGTCTGAATGCCCGGGGAGTGAGAGTACCACCCGATTCGCCTCGATGTCGAACACGTGGAGCGAGGAGTCAGAGGCACCGGCGATGAGTTCTTTGTTGTTAGGTGAGAAGCGGAGTGACCAGATCCCCGCATGCATCTCCCCCGTATTTGAGAAATCCAACGCAGTCTGCGTATGATCACCCTCATCCACCGCATCAACTCCTTGAAGGGGTGCGATATACACGATCGGGGTGATAGACGACCACGCGATAAACTGGTTATCCTGAGAGAGAGAGGCATCTGTGATTGTCCACCGTCCCGTATCACTCCTGATAACTTTGTAGAGCGGCCATTTCGTGGCACGAGTGTCGCGGGTGTCGTACAACCTGACTCTAAAATCCTGGGAACAGGTATAGAAGATGGATCCATCCGCGCTGAATTGTCCACTATACGCACGGGACGATTGCCGCGTAATCAAGCGTCCATTGTGGTTGGGCGTGAAGAAGCGTCTGAGAAAGGGTTTGCGAGACGGGGAGGTGGAGGGGAGAGTTGTACGGTCGAGGACTGTGGAGAAGGTCGAGAGACGGCGTTTTCGGGTTGGGGGTGGGGGTCGGTTTGGTCCGAATTCGCCGCAGTTGAGGAGTTTTGTGCCGGCTGGGACGGGCTCCGCATGCGGCTTTGGTTGCCAGCGGTGTGTTGGGCTGAAATCGTCATCATCGTCATCATCGTCGGCCAAGTCGTGGGGGTTGGAAGACCGGAACACAATGCGGCGGTCGCCACCGAGGAAGTTACGGATTTGAGCGAGGATGTGGGGGTTGTTTTGGAGCATGAGTCGTTGGAGGTCGTTTTGTTCCAGTTCTGTGAATTCAGCCTCGTGATCTTCATCATCTTCGTAGTCACCTTCTTCTCCTTCCTCGTCGTCCTCCTCCTCCCACGCGTCTTCGTCGTCGTCCTCGTCGTCGTCCTCGTCCTCGTCTTCTTCGATATCGATCTCTATTTCTTCATCTTCGTACGAGAGCGACATTGTGTTGCGGTGTTCTGCTCGTCGGGTCTCTTGTCGTTTCGTTGGCCGTGCTCCAGTGTGGGGAGCCGCGACATCCGTCAAGAGTATTGGAAGGTGAAAAGTAGCAAGAAAGGCTCGTAATAACACTACAAGAGAATCGCGCTACACTCCCTGTACCCGCACTGCAATGACGTAACCGTAGAAGACGATCCGTGCGTGGAAGTTGAATAAGCGGCATACGGACATCCAAGTCATCCCGCCCTTTGACTTTGACATAAAAACGCTGCATCCCCCATTGCAAACAGCATACACCCCACCTAACAGCAGTACGAAGATATGAGCCGGGCTCCAACGACCCTGGCCCGAGCATTCTCAGCCCGCAGGAATGAATCGTACAGGCACTGTCTTAAGGAAGACCGCAAGGCCGCGAAGCCACTTTGTCCGGATACCGTCACCTCCTCCTTCGATGCTGCCCTTCAGCAGGACGAGAACGATACCTCTACCCCTACCGAGTCCACGATCTCGAGGAGTGATACTGCGGGTTCGGAGGAGGTCATCGACGCCGCATACAATGACAAAGAATACGAGAAACAAAAAGAACGGACATCGAATCCTTCTCCACAGTTCAGCCGTAACGAAACAGAGGAGAAAATAACCACCCTCAAAGGCCACGTCCGCCGCATCTCCGACAAAGATGGAGAAAACAAGGTCGACGCCGAGTTGAAACAATCCGACGCCGGCCGCATCGAACTCAAGACGAAAGATGCCGTCTCATCCTTTTCGAAAGATGACTCCGCCGCTCGCCGTCGGAGGACGAGGACGAACATCCCCAAACGCAAGGAATTCCATGACCTGGTCTTCGAACCACGTATGACAGCTCTCGACCGCACGAACCCAAAATCCGCCGAATCGCCCTTCCTCGGATTTTACTCCTTGTTCTGGCTGTCACTTGCGTTGTTGGTGGTGAAGACTCTGGCCCAAAACTACCACATCACAGGCCACTTTCTTGGCTCCCAACTCCACGCAACCTTCACGCAAGACATCTTTGCCGTCTTCTGGGTCGATCTCCTCATGGTCGCATCCTCCTCCTTCTGCCTTGTTCTCCACAAATTGGTCCAATACGGACTAGTCGACTGGGATAGAGAGGGGTGGATCGTACAGCATGTATGGCAAACGATCTATTTGTTTGGAGCGATTGGGGTTACGTGGGCAAGAGATTGGCCCTGGATTCAGACGGTGTTTTTGGTGTTGCATGCGCTCGTTATGTTGATGAAGCAGTACAGTTATTCGACGCATAACGGGTATTTGTCGTCTGTTCTCAAGCACAAACAGGCCCAAGAAGCTGAGTTGAGGGTATTGCGTGAGGGTACTGGTGCGAGGAGGGGTTCTGCGGATTCTGGGGTTGAGATTAACACTCCTGCCCAGCAGAACGGAGACGGTAACACCAGTCAGGAAGAGCAGCACGAGCAAGAACTCGAGTTGCTGGCCGATATCGAAGGATGCGAGGAGGAGTTGACGGGCCCCGTCTACGGCAAAATCAAGTACCCAGCCAACGTCACTCTCCCCAACTTCCTCGACTACCTCCTCGTCCCCTCCCTCGTCTACGAAATCGAATACCCCCGCACCGAACGTATCCGCTGGCCCTACGTCCTCGAAAAATCCGCCGCTACATTCGGCTGCTTTTTCTTGATGGTCATGATCTCCGAACACTACGTCCTACCAGTCATCCCACCCGCCGATATGCCAGTGCAGGATAAGTTGGCGAATTTGCCGTGGGTGTTGTTGGATATCATCTTCCCGTTCATCACGTTGTATTTGTTGACGTTTTATCTGATTTTTGAGTGTGTTCTTAATGTGTTTGCGGAGCTTTCCTGCATGGCTGACAGGTATTTCTACTCGACGTGGTGGAACTCGGTTTCTTGGGATGAATTCGCACGGGACTGGAACAAACCCGTTCACAACTTCCTCCTGAGGCACGTCTACCACTCCTCCATCTCCAACATGAAGCTTTCCAAGAAACGTGCGACGCTCCTGACCTTCTTCCTCTCCTCCTGCATTCATGAACTCGTCATGGCGTGTATCACGAGGAAGATCAGGTTTTATCTACTTGGGTTTCAGATGTTGCAGTTGCCGTTGATTACGATGTCGAGGAGTCGGTGGTTTAGGGAGTGGAAGGTTGCGGGGAATGTGTTTTTCTGGTTTGGGTTGTTTACTGGGCCGAGTTTTTTGTGTTTGTTGTATGTGTTGTTGTAGATGGCTGCAAAGCTGTTTGCGGCGCTTTCAACGGTTACGAGAAGATGGTTGGTAGCGACATGCGTTTTGCGAGGTGGATGTGGAGGATGAGGGTTGGGGTTGTATGACCACCCTGGATGACCGTAGATGAAGTGTATGATAATGCGGGATGGGTTACTAAGGAGCATCATGGACTCTGTTTTTTGCTTTGCTGATGACTTGTCTTTTTTACGTTTGTAGGATAGGGTAGGTCTGGTCTTTCTTGTTCAAGTTCGTTTTATAGCCACCTCCCTCAATTGCAGCAAGGTCAATTTCAAAGTGCTCCATTCATAACAGAAACGAAGATCAAGAAAAGAAGGTATCGCATACCCTAAACCTCCAAGTGAAACGGAAAGTGACTAGCCAATATGTCAAGAAAAACCAAACACAAAACTCCGCAACCATCTCCAAACACAATCACACATACGCCCAAAAAACCAGAACCACAAAGCTAAAATAGCTGTAACATAACTCCTATCTCGCCTTCTCTGAGACATCATACTCCCCAAATAAGCCATAGAGACTGCGTGTGTCTGCTCCTGCCCATACTCTAACATAACGAATGGTATCACTACTATATCCTTCAACGTTGCTCGCCCTGACAGATTCGCACTCAGCACCCATACATATTCAAAACATCCATCCTCTTCTTAATCTCATCCATACTCCGCGTCGGAAACAACAACCCAACCTCATCACGACTCAAATCCTTAACCCGCGTACGAATCACCGAATCCTCTTCCCTGGTCCATCCCACCTCTGGCTCCTTCTTGTCCGTGTGTACTCCCGCGAGGTGTTTGTTGGACATCCAGACTTCTTGTTTCTGCGGACTGTTGGAGTGAGAGTAGGGGGTAGGGTATGGTTGGTATGGAGGCGAGAGTTCTTGGCCTTCGATTACTTCGAGGGGTGCGGAGATTTGTTGGCCGCGCATGCTCATGCCCTGCACAGGACGAGCAAGATGCGATTCAGACGTCGACCGTTGAACCATCCCAAACCCGGTCCCCTCCTGCTGTCCACCACCCATACCCATACCCATGCCGCCAGCACCACCACCAACTCCAGCCCACGCCTTAATCCCCGCCGTCAAATTCGACTGCCCATGTCCAAAAAAACCCATTGCGTTTCTTTCGCCGGGGATGACGCCACCGAGTGGATGTGCCAACACCGGCGGGGTCAAGAACCCTTCGCTAGGCGATGTTGTACCATTCGTCGAGCTACCAACAGACTGGCAATCTTCACTGCTTCTCCGAGAGGTGCCAGTTGATGCGCGGCGGATGAGCGGGTGTGAGGTCGGTTGATGCGAGGAGTGAGATGAAGACGATGTGGGTTTATGGTCGAGAGGGGTAAGGGGCGTGAGAGACGAAGAAGGCTGCTGTGATTTCAACTTCCCACCTGAAAGTCTTCGCCAGCGGAATTGACAGCCGTTGCTTGTTCGGCCGGGAACTGCGTACGCCCATTAGTTAGCTGGAACACCAAATCGCAAACTTTGATTCATGGAGTGGACGTACAATACAAAGCGATCTCACGCCACCCCATGCCTTCTTTCTCCTTCAACCTCCTCAATAAGGCATCCTGTGCTGGAGACCACGAGTGCGGTTCACGCGGTGACTTGGGTTTACGACGGCCGAGGATGTCATATTGTTGGATCACGGGGTCGGCTCTTCTCAGCAAGCTTTGGTGTTGCTGAGATTGGTGAATGCTGGTGGGAGGTGACATGGAAGGGAGACCGGCGAGAAGTGAGGAGTGCGGACGATGAGGGGGTGGACGAGAGGTGTGATGTGTGGAGTAGTCGTAATGGGGTGGGAGTGTGTGTTCGGGCAGCGATTCAGACATAGCATTACCGTTGAAATACTGGCCATGGGATTGCTGAGAATGTTGTTCAGGATAGGACATAGCAGGCGGAATCGGCCTCGCAGGCGCCGGATGCCCGAGATGTTGTATGGGCGGCAACTGCGTACTCTGCTGATTCGAGTTTGTAGGAAGCGGAGGAAGTTGTCGATTCTGAAACGAAAACGCAAGAGCCGGAGGCGCTGACTGCGAAAGAAACCCCAACGTCGGAGCAGGAAGCTGTTGATCGCCATTTTCGTCGGCTTTAGCAGCCATCATGGATCTGATCTCCATCGTGACCATGACTGGCTAACGAGCTGGGGGGTGTATGCTGGATGTATGCTGGCCGACTGGGGATGTATGCTGGATGTATGCTGGCCGACTGGGGATGTATGCTGCTGCCTCTATCGCCGCCGTCGACATGGCACGGTTCATGTAGTCATCTCATCGCGTGTTCTACTTTACGTGGGAGGATCCGCCTATCTCCAGCGTCTGCTTATCTCCGACATAGGCCGATTTCACATGCTAGCCGACCGCGGCAACTACTCACGTGAACGGCGCGCAGAAACACTACTCCAAAATATGTCATCTTCCTAGAATCAATCAATCATCAAGACTGCTGCGTCCGTGCAGAACTCTGACTCCGCCTCCCAGTAACAGACAAACTCGCCGACGAGGGACTCTTGAATCGATTCTTCCATCCCTCCTTCCCCACACTCGAACTCCTGATCCTTCCCAACTCGATACTCTCACTCGTGTGTATGTCATCCCCAACCACGGGGGCCGAAGCGGTCATGGTAATATCCGGCCCGGTACCGACAAGGCTCGAGATACGCTTATGCTTCGGGGACATGCTTGGCGCAGCGGCTGTAGACGGCTGGGAGTGACTTTGACCAAGGGTCGCGTCGGCAGGAATTCCTTCTTCTGCGTCGTCGCCAAGCATTATCTCAAATGTAGCCCGGCTCGCCTCGGAATACGCCCGTTCCCTAGTGTCCACCTCACTCATCGAGTCGCGTTCCGCGGGTCTGCTCAGACTCCTTGCGTGGCTCGAGAATGACCTCGTACGCGATATCAACGGTTTCTTGCTCTCGGCGGAGACCGTACGGTTCCTGTCGCGGTCGCGGAGTTGGCGTCCACGATCGGTTGCCAGGATGAAGCGTTGGCCAGACTCCAAGGGGATGGCCAATCCAGTACGCGGGAGTTGCAAGACGTCACTCTCGTCGTAAATTTCCTCACCAATCAGTTCCTCCAGAACGTCCTCAAGCGTGATAATACCAACAGGCGACAACTTCTTCATCTCCTCCTCACTCCAAGTCAACGGAGGCGCAGTGGTGGCAACATTATTGGCCGTCGTGGAAGAAGCATCACTACTCCTCCTCGTACGCGACCCACGGCGAGACAAATCGTCTTGAGCAGCAGGCGGCTCATATGGCTTCGGCGGCGCAGGGACAACGATGGCCATATGGCTCCTCCCCTCCTGAAACGAATTGAGTATGTCGAAGAGTGGAAGATCACTCTGCACAGTCGGCAACGTCGAAATGGAAACCTCGCGAAGCGGGACCGAATCATCCGGATCGAGCAAAATCAAATTCTTAACCAAAAGACAGCCAATGATAGAGCGACGTGTGCCCATGGCTTCAGGTGAGAGGGGTTGATGGGAGCGTTCGGCGTCGAGCATATCTTCCTCATCGGTGACCATATCATACACTGGAACACGACTATGCCCACTCTTCACAATCTTCTCAATCGTCTCCCGATCCAACCTCGTATCAATATGCAGCATAAACACCTCCTCAATCTGCGTCATAGCGTTCTCCACAGTCTTCTCATGCAAATCTAACGCACCCCTCATAATCGTAACCGCATCCAGGTTCAAGTCTCCGCCGTGGTGTTCTTGCTGTGAGTGGAAAGTGAGGAGTTCGGCGAGTTCGGAACGGCGGTAGACCATGCCGTGGTTTTGGCCGAGGATGTAGTCCAGGAGTTTTGCGATAGGGTAGGAGAAGACGAACATACACCAGATGAGGATTCGGACGGGCCAGGCCATGAACGCGCCGACGGCGAGACCGTAGCGGGAACATACCGCCTGTGGGATGATCTCTGCGAAGACGACGATCAGGACGGTCGAAGTGACGATAGCCATAACACCACCTCCGAACGCGTTTTCGGTGATAATCGGCAATGTCTCGTTCACGACCACGTTGGCCAACAACAAAGAGACAAGCAACAAATGCCCATTCTTGCGGACCGGAAGGATTTTTTCGGCGTGGCGGCGTTGAGTTGGGTTCCCCGAGCGAGCGAGGACTTGTAGTTGAGTTTCGTCGAGTGTCATCAAACCAAGCGTTAAGCCTGCGATGATACCTGAGAAGATGACAAGGACCGCGATAACTATGATATAAACTCCCAACATGGCTCCCTTTGCCGTCTCGCGTTTCGCAAGTACATGCGCCTGTCCATGGTCGTAATCGGTGTAAGAGGCAGCGCCCCCGTTGTCGTGCGTCGTAGGGATAGGCAGCGGAGTCGCAAAAACAGTACTAACAGCCCTCGCAATCAAAGTCGTTGAGCCCAGAAGCCCGTAGCGTATGAAGGATATAGGTTTTCCCATGAATGGTGGAAAGAGGGTATGGAGGTGAAAGGGGGGCTGCTCGGCCTCTGCGGGTATACTTGTAGGCGAGGGTGGATTCGCTCGTCAAGCAGGGCCAAGCTTTGGAGGCTCGGCAGGGTGCTGGTCAAGGCGCGGTGAGGTCGCCGCGCGTTTGCCGGGAACGGAACGTAACGCAACGTAACGTAGACACAAACATTTTATCGGCGAGATCTGTTACGGGGCACGATGAGGATATTGTCATGGAACGTAAACGGGATCCGCAATCCCTTCGCCTACGCCCCCTTCAACTCCATGTCGAAATCTTACAAACTCCTCCTCGACCACCTCGACGCCGACATCATCTGCCTTCAAGAAACCAAGATCCAGATGAAGGACTTGACGATCGATATGGTCGCCGTCGAGGGCTATGACGCGTTTTTCTCGCTACCGAGGCAGAAGAAGGGGTATAGTGGGGTTGTGGTCTATGTGAGACGGGAGAGATGTGTGCCGGTGAAGGCGGAGGAGGGGGTTACGGGGCGCTTGGGGATGATCTGGGATAAGGACAGGATGTATATGGACTCCACCAACGCAATAGGTATCCTGCCTCTCCATTTCTTCCTTCTCGTGCGACACGGTGGCTAATGAACACAGGCGGCTACCCACCAGACTCAGCCTACACCATGCCCCCGGCCACTCTGGACTCAGAAGGCCGCGCCGTCATCCTCGACTTCAACCTCTTCGTCTTCATCGGCCTCTACTGTCCCGCCAACTCTGGCGCAACCGACGAAGGCCGCGAATTTCGGCGAGCTTACTTGAAGGCTGTGGAGGATCGTGTGAAGTGTTTGAGGGAGGAAGGGAGAGAGGTTGTTGTGGTGGGTGATTTGAATGTGTGTCGGAGTGGGATGGATACGGCTGAGGGAGCGAAGTTGTGTAAGGATGAGGAGTGGGTTAATGACTTTGGGCGGTTATGGATGACACGATTGGTGGGACCTCCGCCATCGTTGGACGATAATGAGGAGGCGGAGGAAGCACCGCGGCTACTGGAGGATTTGTGCCGCAAATTCAACCCGGAGAGGGAGGGTATGTTCACATGCTGGAACACACGTTTAAACTCCCGTCCGAACAACTACGGTGCACGAATTGACTACGTGCTCACATCACCCGGTCTCGCACATTGGTCCTCGCACGCTGATATTCGACCGGACGTCATGGGCTCGGATCATTGTCCTGTGTATGCTGATTTCAAGCACGAACTACTACCAGAATCAAACGAAGAGGAGAAAGAACAAAGGTGGTTGCTGGATCTGGTTAACCCACAAGGGACGTTCGTGCAGAACGTGAGGGTCGCACCACCACCTCCACCACCACAACTCTGCGCAAAGAATACTGGGGATTTCAAGGGTCGGCAGAGCCTGAAAGATTTATTTGCGAAAGGGGCATCATCGGCTTGCTCAGGAAATGCGAGTCCTGTTGCTGCGGCGGAGAGCGTACCTTCCAACGCTACATTTCAAGCAGCGGCGCCGCTGAAGAGGGCTGCCTCCGATGCATTAGGTTCTAACGCGGGCGAGACGAAGAAAACAACGAAGATTCCGAAGATTACAAAGGATGCTTCGCCTGGGCAGAAGAGCTTAAGGGGCTTTTTCACGGCGAAGGCGCCGGCGCCAGCGGTTCAGCAGAGTGATCCACCCGTGAAAGTTAGCAAGAGCACGCAAGCGACCATAGTGGCTACGGAAGCCCCGGCCAATCTCGACTGTGTGGATATTTGCGATCCACCCAAAACCCTAGCAGAAGCGAAACCAAGCGGCACGATAACTGAAGCCGACTACGCCATAATCCAACCCGAAACCACCCGCTCCTCCTGGTCCACCCTCTTCACCAAACCCACTGCCCCCCTCTGCACGACCCATAACGAGCCCTGCACCGAACTCACCTCCAAAAAACCTGGCCCGAATATGGGCAGGAGATTCTGGATTTGTTCGAGACCTGTGGGGCCGGGGTATGATAATGGGGAGAGGCCAAAGGGGGAGGTTAATCGGGAATGGAGGTGTAACTATTTTAAGTGGAGTAGTGAGGTTGGCCGGAAGTGAAATGGTACGCCCATGGCCCCGCTGTTGGTCGTCTGGTAATCCTTATCACGCACCGTCCAACAAGATCCCGGAAAACCGCCCCTTAATCAGGTTGCAGGCCCATGCTGCTGGCTGCGGGCATGCGCGGTCGCGTACAAACAAAGTCGCCCCCCCCTCCCCCCCGCGAGCTGTTAGGAGACCCGATGTAGCCGGTGATCCGGAGCAGCTGTTCATTCCAATCCAGCAACCGAGCTTGTCAGTCAGTCCCGGCTTTGCGACATGCGTCTCCCGTTCCGCTTCACCCTCGACAACATCGACTCATACCAAAACCCCCCAGGTCCTCTCGATCGAAACCACAGCGGCCATGATCCGCCGACAGTCGTATATCCCAAAGTTCCCATCATTCGCATTTTTGGGACAACGGAGGGTGGACAGAAGGTTATGGCACATGTGCACGGGGTGTATCCGTATCTGTATGTTGAGTACACGGGGAGTTTGGTGCCGGATACTGGTAGGTTTCGGGGTGATTCTTTGTGTAGGGGGGGTTGGCTAATGTTGGGGCTTTAGTTCAAACGGAGATTCATCGACTTCATACGAGTATCAATCGGGCTATGTGTCTTTCATTCCGCCGGAATCCGGACGACGTGAAGAATATCTACGTTGCGCGAATCACCCTCGTCAAGGGTGTACCCTTTTACGGCCTAAATGTTGGCTGGAAGTTTTATTTCAAGATCTACATGCTTTCGCCCGGTTACATGACCAGACTTACGGAATTGCTCGCTCGTGGGATGATTATGAAGAGGGTGTTGCAGCCTTATGAGGCTCATATACCGTACCTGTTGCAGTTCATGATTGATTACAATTTGTACGGGTGTGGGTTTATGAAGCTTAAGGCGGTGGGATTTCGTCAGCCGCTTCCCGAACCACCAGAGAGCGATGGTCAGGAGCAAGTATCTGAGGGTGACTCCTCCCAGCTCCTCTACAACACAGATACCGTCCCATCAACCCTCGTTCAACCATCCGCCTCCTTCTCCCGCCTCTCATACTCCGAACTTGAAATCGACATCCAAGCATCCGCAATCATCAACCGCACCTGGGTCCTCCCCCGCCCCCTTCACCACGACTTCACCGAACGACTCAACCCCTACGACCCCACCTCCCAACTCGTTCACTCCATGCGCGAACTCTGGCAAGACGAGCAAAACAGACGAAGCGCAAAGGGTATGCCGAGTACTATTCCTACACCGAGTGTGGGGGAGGAGAGGGTAAGGGATAAGGGATGGGTGCATGAGGAGGAGTATTGGGAGGCGTTGGAGGTTAGGATGAGGGAGGAGAGGGGGAGGTTGGGTGGGGTTAGGCCGAGGTTTGGGACGTGGGTTAAACCCACGCCGTTCGAAAGTCTTGTGCAGACCGCGTTTGAGAGTGTGAAGGATATGTTTTTGCAGGAGGGACCGGATCCGGAAGAGCTTGATGCAAATGGGATCGGAAATGGGAGCGATGTAAATGTTGGTGCTGCTTCATCTCAAGCGCGCGAACTTGCTACTGATGAGTCCTGGATTCGAATGTCTGGACATTCGGAGGCAGAGGTTGATGAGATCGCTATTATGGCGATGGAGCAACTGGAAGACGCAGATGACCCAAACGATTGGGTTGCAAAGGAGGATGAGAACGTAGGGGATGGGGAGGAAGAAGATGAAGGCGTGGGCCTTGATGAAGGGCGAGACTTACAACAGATAAATGAGGCAGAACAATTGGTCGATGGTTTGGAGGACGCGGCCGACACACCCTACAAGCGCCGTAAGCGGGTTTTGGATGCTATGCAATCAGGAGATTCAGAGGATGCAACGCCCTCTCGCTTGATTGATCATAAGCGTCTGAAGACTGAAAACGGCGGCGATCTAGGTTCTTTCTCGTCGCCTATATCCAAGCAAACGAAACACTCCGCTCGACGTCATTCACAGACGTCAGTTCCTCGATCATCCAATGGCGTAAGTGTTGAAGGCGGATCGTGCACTTCATCGGCTGAGCATGCTGCCGTTCGTCACCTTGCAACTAGCCTTTCTATTCCTTCAATTGCGCTATACCGTCAACGGCCTCCGACATCTGAGATGTTGCTTTCGACGTGCGATGAGTATGATCTACCTAGGGTCGTGTACACTCAGCCTCATTGGGGAAACATCTCGGATGTTGAACCAGGTGCACGGGAGTACGCTGGCAAGGAATTCGTCATCAAGGGTGATACTATGAATTATCTGGACTACTTCGAGACGCCGTATAGTGCCCTTGCGGACAGTAGCTCTGCTCGGAATGCTTTGGACAAGCCGCGTAGTTCGCTTTGGATGTACGGCAAGCCGCCTGTCAGTCGGCGAGATGCGGTGGCGTGGCTGAGTTCTCGAAGTATTGGGTTCACAGTCACCCGGAAACCGGAACACGGCATTTCCCAGGTTGAAGGACCCACGCAAAAGAATCCATTCGGAGCGAAGTATACTCCAGGCCCTGCGAACGCACGAATGTTGCAGCCACAGACACAAAGTGTCTTGTCTTTGGAGATACATGTGAATACACGTGCTGGGAATCATCCTGATCCGAAGAAAGATGAGGTTGCTGCAGTGATTTGGTGTTTACAGCGTACTTCTGCCTCGCAAGCTGCCGGGCGAGCTGAATGTGATGTTACGCTCGGTGCAGTTACTGTATCTGACAGTGATATCACATCTGCGAGGTTCTCGTTACAGGCTCATGAAGGCACCGCTGTTGAGACTGAGCTTGATGTCGTCAACTATCTGATTGATCTCGTTCGGAATTCGGATCCTGATATCCTTGCGGGATTTGAGGTACAGAGTTCGTCCTGGGGTTATCTGATCGAGAGGGCGCGTCTGGCGTATGATTTCAATCTCTGCAATGAATTCTCACGTGTGCGAGAAGAGTCGCATGGTCGATTCGGAAAGGATAACGATCGTTGGGGGTTCAACCATGCGTCTGCGATCCGAGTGACTGGGAGGCATGTGATAAATATATGGCGTGCGATGCGTGCTGAACTGAACTTACAGCAGTACACCTTGGAGAATATCACGTTTCATTTGCTTCATCGTCGGATTCCTCATTACAGCAATGCCGACCTGAGCACTTGGTACACGAGCTCCAGCCCGAGTAGACGAGCGCGGGTCCTCGATTATTACCTGTCTCGGGTGCAGCTCAATCTGGACATTCTGCGGAAGCAAGAACTTGTTGAACGAACTAGTGAACAGGCTCGTGTTCTAGGAGTAGACTTCTACTCCGTCTTCTCGCGAGGTTCACAGTTCAAAGTCGAGTCATCGATGTTTCGCATTGCTAAGCCGGAGAGCTATATGCTGATATCACCGACACGCAAACAAGTCGGATCACAGAATGCCCTGGAATGTATTCCTCTGGTTATGGAACCTCAGGCGAAGTTCTATTCAGATCCTGTTATCGTGCTGGACTTTCAGTCCCTGTACCCATCCATTGTTATCGCTTACAACTATTGTTACTCAACATGTTTGGGAAGAGTCGAAACCTGGAGAGGTGAGAACAAGATGGGATTTTTGGATCATAAACTTCCGCCTGGGTTACTTGAGCTCCTGGCGGATGATGTAACTGGTATGCACCTTTATCGATGATTTGTCCTTCCCTGCTAACACAATACCTAGTTGCACCTAATGGTTTCGTATACGCGAAGCCGTCGTTGAGAAAGTCGCTACTCGCCAAAATGCTGTCAGAACTCCTTGACACTCGAATCATGGTTAAGGATAGCATGAAGCTACATAAGGACGATAAAGAGCTCCAGAAACTCTTGAACAACCGCCAACTAGCACTGAAACTCTTGGCTAACGTAACATATGGATACACTTCTGCGTCTTTCTCTGGAAGAATGCCTTGCGCCGAGATTGCTGACAGTATCGTTCAATCCGGAAGGGAAACGCTGGAGAAAGCTATAGAGGTTATCCATAGTACTCGTGAGTGGGGCGCAGAAGTGGTTTATGGCGACACCGACAGTTTGTTCGTGCATCTCCCTGGACGCACGAAGGATGAGGCTTTTGATATCGGGTATGCCATAGCAGATACCATCACTGCTATGAACCCTCCCCCTGTCAAGCTGAAATTCGAGAAGGTATATCTCCCTTCCGTTCTCTTGGCGAAAAAGCGTTACGTGGGCTTCAAGTATGAACACCGTAACGCTCAGGAGCCGGAATTCGATGCCAAGGGTATTGAAACTGTCAGACGGGATGGTATACCGGCAATTCAAAAGATGATGGAAACATCGCTCAAGATATTGTTCCGCACCGCGAATTTATCCGCTGTGAAGCGCTATTTCCAGAGGCAGTGTAGCAAAATCATCACTAATCGCGTTTCGATACAGGATTTCACATTTGCCAAGGAAGTGAAGATGGGCACGTACAGTGAAAATGGTGTTCCGCCGCCAGGCGCTGTCATCAGTGCCCGAAAGATGGCCGAGGACGCTCGAGCTGAGCCCCAGTATGGTGAACGTGTTCCTTACGTGGTTGTTGCAGGCGCACCCGGTTCAAGGATCGTCGATAAAGCTGTATCGCCCGAAGAGATGATATCCAATCCAGAGCTGCGTCTTGATCATCAATACTACATAGAGAGGACGATTATACCGCCCTTGGAACGAGTGTTCAATATCATGGGAGTCAATGTTTCGTCATGGTGGAAGGACATGCCGAAGGCGGCTCAGATATCTTGGTCCGACAGCTATACGAGACACCAATACAAAAGTGACATCGATTCTTTCGTCGATAGGAGGCTCTGCATAAGTTGCATGAAACGAGAACCTATCGACCAGGACGTCTGTCAGGTTTGCAAAAAGAACTCAGAAGGGGTCGCATTTCAACTAGCAATGCGTACCAAACAAGCAGCAGAGCAAAACGCCGGGTTGCAAGCTGTGTGCACGTCGTGCTGTGCAGTCCCGTCTGGCAGCGACATACGCTGCGATTCTCGGGATTGCCCCGTATATTATCGGCGCGTTCGTGCTGCTTCAGCTTGGAGGTCTCAGAGTGCGACGAAAATTCCCGCAACCGACATAACGTGGTAGTCACGCATTATGTCGCATACCCTAGATACCATCATAGTTTCAAGAAACAGGCGTTTCCGTCCTCCACCGCGTCCCAAGGATCAGTCCCTTTAACCTCTCTCCCTCTGCTCACAATTTGCGCCATTCCGCCTTTATGCATCTCCTTGAGCAACGCGGAGCATGACTTTTTATGCTCGGCGCAACACATCCGAATGATGGCCTCAACCGCCTCGAGTAAAACACGATCTCGCTATATCCGTGTCAGCACAGGTCGACAGTGCAATCGTGAGGTGGGACGCACTTGAAGGCAGAAATTCCCAAACGCTGTCTTTGAAGCAGACAAAACGCTCTCAGGACTAAAGCTGGTCCCAGATTTGATCATACGTAAGCAAAGCTCAAGGCTACGAAGAAACTGGTTAGGGTCTGTGTAAAGAATGACCGTAGGCAGACGGAATACCTGAGCATGAACACTCGTTCAGGGCCCTGACCTTTCCCCCATGCTTGCGGGAAAAACTGCACGCAAAGGTCTTCCGCGGTCTTTAATAAAGGCACTTGCAATGAATTAAGGGCAGGCGCAGATTCAACGACACTCGCGTATAAGGTTGTCATGACCTTGAGGCGTCGTAGCGTTACCTCCGTGTGTTGTGTCGAAGCCTGTAAGGTTGCGGATACGTTGTTGAGAAAGTCCTCCTCGATGAACTCACATATCTGCACGGGTCAGTAAAAAGCGTCACATAGCGGGGATCAAGCTCACCTTTCGTTTGGACACCAAATCCAGGTAACGTAATAGTTCCCCACAGAAGTCTGTATTCGAAGCCTCATACAACACGTAATGAATCATCCATTTCAAAACTGCTACCATATCTTCGACTTTACTGCCATACTCGAAGCAAGATTGAAGTTGCACCTGGCAGAATGGCAGGGACATAGAAGCTGTAGAGTCAATGATTTGCTGCAATCTGGGCTGAGGCTGGAGATATGATCCGGACGTTTCGAATACCAACTGTTCGAAGTCCATAATCTGTGCAACTGTTGCTGCCTCTGCCGAGTTCATGAGGGGTTTCAGAAACTCCCTTTGCCATATAGCTGGATTCCGCATACAGGCTTCTCGAATGAACGAGTGCATCTTTGGTAGGGCCATGGTGTTGCGGACATTCTGCTGCCCATCAGGATCCCGTAATTTCTGCGATAGAATCATGAGACAGCGTAATAATCGCAGAACATGGTCTGCCAGGTCAGGCCTCAGAGTTCTTCTTTGATGTTGCAAGAAGACATATTCTTCAAGCGACAACGACAGATCTTGTGGCGTGTCAGTGAAGAGCGCTTTCAAAATGAAAATGATCTTCTCAATGCTTGCGATAACGATTTGGTCATCCGTGATGCTCGTATTGCGTAGCATATAGTTCGACAACGCGGCTGTCGCAGTAGGAAGAGGCAAACATCCATGTGAACTGAGACTCACCATGAACCTTTGCATACTCGTCGCCGCCGACTCGTCGAACGTAAGCATACCGCTCGCCCAGTCACAAATGTACTGATGAAGCCTAGGCGAGTCAGTTTCTCGCAAGCAACAGACAAGTATGTGCGCTTGTGACCGCACGTGCATCTCGTGATTAGGATCTTCAGATGCGGTCAAGTCCGTCAACCCGTCGAAGATGGCCGAGCAGAGGCGTGGGAATATGGTTGTGTCAATGTTTAGGTCTCCTTTCATATCACCAGCAAGCGCCTCGGCGGCACTGAGGTCGCTCACTCGCATGACCCGGGATAGGATGTCTTCTATATCATGGTGCTGAACTTCGTTCTGTGCGTTGGTGACCGTTGTGCCCGAGATGCGGTCCAGCACGTCTTTGGGCGCCCAGGCATCAACCGCAAAATCCCGCAGCTCGCGTAGCATTCTCGCAGACCGAGGCCATTGCTCCACCTAGATAACCTCCATTAGCTGCGTCGGTATTGCTGATTTACAAGACTTACCGCTTTGAGTATGCTTCTATGCACATCCCCAAGCTTCCCCATCGCCGACCAAATCGCCAAATGCCGCCGAAACGTCAACGTCGCCAGACCAGCGAAATCTGGACCTTTGTATACGTCGTATGCGGATGTCAGGGCTGTGAAAAGACCGTGGTATTCGTCCATGAGTTCGAGGACTCTGATGGCGAGGGTTAGAGTTCGAATGGCGGCGGAGGTGTCAGTTGAGTCGATTTGGTTTTCGAAGGATTCGTAGGCCAGGGCAGTTACCGTTTGTGCGACTTGCATTTTCGATTCTCGCCAGAGGCCACGGAGCTGCTTTTTGAGCTCCATGGGGAGGTCCGAGGTGAAGCATTCTTCTCCCTGCACGGAGAACAAAGAGATGAGCTCGGCCATGACAGACCGCAGTCGTTGTTCTTCCACATCAACACTGATCCCCGCAGTTATGAGCGATGCATTCCGCTGCCGTCGTAAGCCAGGAGCATTCACCGGTATAGGCGCCTGCAGAACCATACTCGGACACCACCCTGACCCCACCAACTCCTGCCTCCGCAATAATCCCAAAGACAACATCCGTCTCAGGTAGTGCGAGTAGCTGTACACGCCAACACGTTCAAGCTCGCCCAGTAGAAATGGTACGAGCTCGTACTCCAGCCCCGACTCGCTCCCGAGTTTCTCGAGGAAAGCCTCCACATCTCCCCTAACCCCCACCCCAAAAAAGCTGGCACCCATACTCAACAATCCACTCGCCACATAAATCCTATGAACCCCGAACCTATATTTCGAGATTGCCCATTGGCAGATGGTTGATACCTGCTCAAAAGAGGAGCCGGAGCCGGGGGAGGTGAAGTAGGATTGGGCGTAGGTTGCGAGGTCGATGGAGGGGAGGATGGAGTCGAGGAGGTTGACGCGGTGGGAAAGGTGAAGCCGGGTTGGGGGGAGGAAGGGAGGGGAGGGTGAGGAGTGGCTTTGCGGACTGTTGGAGGCTGATGGGGTCCAGCCGATTGGAAGGGAGTCGGTGGCGGATTGGGTGTGCTTGTCGAGAAGGTGGGTGATGTCTTCGGATAATTCTCCGTTCGAGAGACAGCCGCTGTGTTTGTCGTTGACTGCCTGCAGCATTGACAACACCGACGTATGGATCGATCGAGGATGAACGGTCTCGGTATCCGCCGCTTTCCGAAGTAAGACCCGGGCAAACTTCACCAGCAGGGTGTTGTAGGCACAGATATCCCTCAGATAACGTGACGCGAGAATGTTCAGTAAGGGTAATTTGTCGATCGTGCTCTTGCTGATCAGGTCAATAATCAAATCAAGATACTGTTGCCGATTGACAAGCTTCTCGTGGTAAAGATTGTCCACAATATCAATCATATACCTCAGTCTCTCCTGAGCTCCAGCATTCTCCTCACCCACAGCGGCCGCGCATTCTCTTACTGTAGCATCCATGAATGCACCAACCTGTAACGTCCACTCCGTCATCCACTTCCGCTCAGCACCCACCGCACCCGCAGCCATCGTCCCCTTCCGTCGCAAACTCCGAAGTTCATTCGATCCAATACACCGGATAAGCCACGTCGCTCTCAGTGGGTCCACTTTCCGTTGCGCACATTGGTCCAATAGTGGTCGTCCGCGGAGACCCACGGGTACTGAACTCGATAGCTTTTCCAGGGGTATATTTGGGTTCGCCAATGCCTGGAACCAATTTTCTCTTCGCTGATCTACCATGGATATCCGCGGTGGGGGACGAAATGAGGTAGGTATCGCACCTTCCAGTAGAGCCTGTCGTCGCTTCAGTATACCAGACACGAAGTTGGCAGCTAACGAGGGCATGCGTATGGTCTGTGAGCTCATGAGGTTGTATTGTAAACGTTGAGCTGATCCAGTCTCGTTGACCACCATTGCTGCCCATTCTGTACCTTCCTGCTGAGAGGGTGATTCGCTGTCTATTCTTGGGGAGAAGTCGAGTAGTCCTGTAATGATCGATGAACGTCAATGCCGGAAAGCTATGCACAGAAACGCCCATTACCTTTCGGAAGAGCACCCATGGACGGTCCACCGACCACCTGAGGTATGTCCATGCCTGCTGACCTGTTATGGCCGATTCATACTCGTACCCCGAGGTACCAGTACTTTTGGGTTTTGAGCGTTGTTGTGGGGTACAGAGAGCCGCATGCGCTGACAGCAGGTAACGTAACCAGCCCCGGCGACACTCCGACCAACTCGAAGCAACACCATGGACAGCTCAAGAATAGTACCCTACAACTCCTCCTTGCACAAGCGCGAAGATGCCAGATGGGATGGTGAGCTCGATCTGCGGCGTATAGCCCACGTATGACGCGGCGCAGTTGCTAATCCAGCCGCTACAGACTTCGCCGGTGCATTGGCATCATTTCTTCCGATGACTGCGTTGTTCCTTCGTAGAAGATGGCTCGGGTGGATTGGTCTTCTTTCTGCGATTGCTGCTGTTTTGAACTCGAAGGAGGGACGGTCGAGCACTCAGACACCACCTTGGACGACGCTATTGTGAGTGCGCCGCGTTTCTATTCTGGCAAGCAGGGCTAACACGCGCGTAGGATCTCCTTGTCTTCGTTATTCGTTGTCTACCTCCCCATTCTCCTCCAGCCAGGCGCTCTGGCGGGTCTATCAGCTGGAACGTCGACGGGAGCGTCTTCACCAGTCCCAGCGAACGCATAGCGACCTCAATGTTATTCTCGCATGGTAATAGTAATATTCCTTCAAACAACCTTTCTCATTTTCTGTATCCGTATGATTGCCCAATTACCCTCGGCGAAGTGAGGTTAAGCAGTGCCTTACTGATGCATGCCCATACGTGAGGCAAAGCTGCCCTACCTCCAAGACGCGCCGTAAGTGAAACCGAGCACCTCAACAAACACTTTTGTCAAAGAACGAGTAAGTTCTTCTCTTTGCGAAGAGTGAGGAGCAAGAGTTAACATCGGCGAAGCTTGCCGAGTACTGCATTCACCTTTTTATGTCCGAGATCACAAACTTCAACGCTGTCGACCCCTTCGCCGAGACTGGTGACGACGAGCAGCTTCAGAGCTATATCCGTTTGTCTCCCCCTCTCTCTTCCTATATCCATCTCCTAATTGTGCTTTCCCAGACATCCGTATCCAACAGCGCAACGGCCGCAAGACCCTCACCACCGTCCAGGGTCTCCCCACCGAATATGACCAGAAACGAATCCTAAAGGCATTGAAGAAAGACTTCGCTTGCAACGGATCTATCGTCAAGGATGAGGAGCACGGAGAGGTTATTCAGTTGCAGGGTGATCAGAGGGTTAAGGTTATGGAGTTTTTGACTGGGCAGTTGGGCTTGCAGAAGAAGAGCATTAAGATTCACGGTTTCTAAGCTGAAGGGTTTTCTATATTGCGTTTTCAATGTTTAATCTGGCTTTGTTCGCTTGTGGGAATGGGAGCAGAGAATGGCGGTGCGGGTTCGAGAATGAGTTTCGATTGGCGATAAACTACTTTTTCTGACATATCAGGCAAACGCCGTACTGCCCAGTCCCTCCAGAAGTTCCAAATTCGATGGCTCCTTTTCCGGCTTGCTCCAGTCTTCGGTGATATCTTCGCTGCTTTTGCGTGATTGTTGCCGGAAAGACGCCCGCCTAGATGTCATGTTGAGCTCCTCCGGCTCTGCTGAATCTGACTGGCCAGACTCGTATTCAGGTACGATAACTACCGCTCTCGTCGGTTCAGCATCTGTACTTCCAACGACATTGCTCTCTCCGTTGTCAACAGGGGCGGCAGGCACCGGCCTTCGACGTGGTGGTAAAGTAGGTACAGAAGCCGCCTTTGGCTGTCGAGGAGGAAGCTCAGGAGGACTACGCGCAACTGGCGCCGCTTCCTGAGGCGGGCTCCGACTGATAGGAATCTCCATGACAGACTTAGCCGGAGGCGTGCTCACAAATCTCTCCGCAAGAGCCGGTTCCGGAACGGCCATGTCTTGAGGGAGCGTCTCCACAATGGAATCACTAGACGAACGTACCAACGTAGCAGTAGTCGCGTTTGTTGCAGCTGTCGGAGGGAACGTCTGTACCTGACGAGGCATAACAGGCTCACACAACGTGACATCCGGCGCCGTCATACCAGCAGCCTTCGCCTGCTTAGCCGCTTTGCGTTTGGCGAGGTAATCCAGCGCGCCTTTCTTTCCCGACATCCATGCAGACGCGACATTACTGCTGATTGCAGCCGTCGTGGATTTAGTAGAAGATTGTTTCTCGCCATGAAGGGAGTTGCCCGTTGATTCGTCGCGAGAGGCTCTAGGTGCAGTCCGCGTTTGTGGAAATTCGGACACGAACTGTGCTTCCGGTGACGAGTTCTGCGACAACGCACGTGTTCCGCTGCGGAGCGACTCCGCACTCTTGCGTCCCACCGTACTAGGAGTTCCAGAGGCAGCAGAAGAACTGCTCATCCTGCGACGCAACGAGGGCTCGGCCGATCCAGAAACGCTCTGCGCTGATGTTCCCGCGACATCGATGAGCGTGGCTTCACTGATAGCGAGTCCCGACTCTCTTGACAGGGAGCGTGGCACGCCGGGGCGTGCAGTGGAACGCGAGCCTGATGATAGACTCGATGCGTCCGAAGCAATAGAAGATTCTTCTGATAGGGCTGCCATGACACCAGTCGACCCCAACGACCTCACCGGTGAATTTTCTTTCTTGGGGGTGAAGACAGCAACAGGGCTTTCGATGATAGAATCCAACGTCTCAACTGTCTCCATATCCACATTCTTCGTCAGCTCCACTGGGTCCACAGTAGGCACCGGCTGCTGAGGCTCCCAAATCCCACCCCGATAAACCTCCCCCGCAGTATTCAAAAAAGGCAAATCCTCCATATTCGGACTAACAATCGAATCCCTAACGACATCCCTAATCTTTCCCTCAATCCCCTTCAACACCCTCCCAAACGTAATCGCCCTCCCAAAGGTAATTGGCTCGACCAAGATATCGAGTGTCGGCATCTCCGTGAACCCGAACCAGATACGGTTGGATGGGGCGGGTTTGATGCGGAGTTGGAGGGTGCCGGAGAGGTTCTGGCAGACCACGGCAAGGGAGACGCGGCCTTCTTTGTTTTTGAAGGGGAGGGAGATTGTTGTGCCGAGGTCGACGCGGATTTTGCCTTTGTAGGAAAGGTGAAGGTCGATGAGGAGGTCGCCGTCGACCCCCATTTCTCGCAATCGAGGGTTGGAGATGTATGGGATTGCATCTCCAAGATGGACCTCGTTAATCGTGATGTTTGACATGAAGCTTGGCATTTGGACGCGTTTGATCTTCTTGACAATCTTGTTGACGACGAATTGTTCGAGCTGGGGTGTTTTGTATGTTGCCAAGAAGAGACGACCGATGATTGCGTTCAGCCACTTCGTATCGGAATATTTGTCGCCCGAATTAAGAGTTTGTTGGAGGGAGAAGAAGTGCTGCTTGTCGAAGAACTGAGCTCGCGCCGACACGTTTGGACTTGCGCGCAAAAGGGCATCGTACCAGTCTTCCTTGTCGGACATGTTGGAAATGTAGATGTAAATAGACGTTAACGGTGCCGTCGAAGAAGTAGAAGCATCGTCTGCTGAAGGCGCGTCACCAGTTTTCGTTAAGCAGATAGCCGTGCGCTTGGTGTAGATCTCACCCTCTAAGAGATCATTGGGGTATATCGATGGTATATAGTGTGACAATACAATTACATGCTGAAGACTGTCCTCATAGTCATACAAGAACAAATTCCCATGCTTCAGAACAGCGTAGTAATCGTTAGGCGTAGACCGTACCCGCTTTGCATTCGCACCTGGAGAACCGGGCGTAGATGGTTTCTGGGACATGAATCGCTTGGCGAATGTCGACAAGTAGCCCGAGCTTGGGACTGACTGGAATTTTCCTAGCGGTGCGGCGTGCTTCCCGCCGACTTGAAACTCCTTGGCGACACGGAGCCAGCCTGTCTTGTACACATCCACACCTTCAGCGGGCTTCTTGCCGCCGTCATCGCTCTCGTCTGCCGTCTCCTTCAAATCAAGATCGACATCTGATGGTACCGGGTGGTACTCAAGTGCAGCCTTCAATTGCTGAACGGGTGCAATTGGGGACAGAAAGTAGAAGGCGATCAACCCGCACACAACGACCAAAGGCAGGAATGTGATCCCGCCTAGGAGATAGACGACCAACAGAGTCTTAATGGTTGCCATCGTGATTCTTCAAATCCATGCGTCCACGTCGCTTTGAGCTGCTGAATGACGGTGACGTTGAGTGTATGCACCCCGCGTCCATTACCCTGCTTGTGCGCATGTGCACGTGCCTGGAGTTACTTGGCCATGGACGGGAGAGCCTGGACGGTTTACCAAGCTGAGTGAGGTCGGCCCTGCTGTCGCCTGGGTTGAGATGAGCTCGAGCTGGCATGAGCATTCATTCTGGCAAGAACTGGCGATCACTGGTGTTTTCTCGTCCCGCGCGCTTTCCAGGCTGAAGATTCTGGGTTTTACTAGAACACGCCGACCGTGCATAGCAAGCCACACCTTCTTTCCCAGAGCACCGCGTTATAAATAACCCTCGACCCGCCTTGCTCCTCCACCATACAAACAAACATGAGTCTGGAATTCACAGAAAAAGCAACGCAGGTTCTGAGTCTTGCTCAGGATCTCGTACGCAATTACAAACATGTTCATCTCGAACCAGTACATATCGCCGACGCATTGCTCTCGGAGGATTCACCCAACCCACTGCTAGCTACTATCATCGACAAGGCTGGTGGTGATGTACAGGCGTTTTCGAGGTATATCAAGAGACAATTGGTACGGAGGCCATCGCAGGATCCTCCACCGGAGACGCCATCGCTGTCACCGGGTGCTGCGAAGGTAATCAGATCAGCACAGGATCTCGCCAAGAAACAGAAAGACTCCTTCGTAGCTATCGACCATATGATTTCTGCGCTTTCCGAAGACGCTTCTATGAAGACGGCATTCTCAGAATGCGGGATCTCTGCGACTGCGATGGAACAGGCATTGCTTCAGGCACGAGGAAACAAGCGTGTAGAGAGCAAGTCCTTTGAGGAGGGATTTGAGGCGTTATCGAAGTACACCGCTGATCTGACCGAACAAGCTCGTGACGGTTCGATCGACCCCGTTATTGGGCGTGAAGATGAGATCAGACGCGTCATTCGAATCCTGAGTCGTCGTACGAAGAATAACCCTGTCTTGATCGGTGAACCCGGTGTCGGTAAGACCTCGATCGCGGAAGGATTGGCACAGCGTATCGTCAACGCTGACGTACCGGCCAACCTCGCTTCCTGCCGACTCCTCAGTCTCGACGTTGGAAGCTTGGTTGCTGGTACTAAATACCGTGGTGAATTCGAGGAGAGGATGAAGAGCGTCCTCAACGAGATCGAGGGCGCAAGTGAACAGATCATCCTCTTCGTTGATGAGATGCATCTCCTCATGGGTGCTGGAGGAAGCGGAGAGGGAGGCATGGACGCAGCAAACCTCCTTAAACCTATGCTTGCTCGTGGAAAGTTGCACTGTATCGGCGCGACCACCCTCGCCGAGTACAGAAAGTATATCGAGAAAGACGCAGCTTTCGAACGTCGTTTCCAACAGGTTCTTGTCAAGGAGCCTTCAGTTCCCGACACGCTTTCCATCCTGCGTGGGTTGAAGGAGAAGTATGAGGTGCATCATGGTGTTACGATTGCAGATGCTGCGTTGGTTGCTGCGGCGACTCTTGCGAGCAGGTATTTGACTTCAAGGAAGCTGCCTGACAGTGCTATTGATTTAGTTGATGAAGCTGCTGCTTCGGTCAGGGTTGAGAGGGAGAGTCAGCCTGAAGTCATCGATAACCTTGAGCGCCGTCTTAGGCGGCTGCAGGTTGAGATCCATGCTCTTGAGCGTGAATCTGATGCAGCCTCGAAGGAGCGTTTGAACGTTGCAAAGCAAGAAGCCGCAAACGTCGAAGAAGAGTTGAGGCCCTTGCGCGAAAAGTACGAGTTGGAGCGCAAGCGCGGTGACGAACTCCAAGAAGCCCGCAAAAAGCTCGACCAACTCAAAGCCAAAGCCGACGACGCCGAACGCAGACGCGACTTGCAAACTGCTGCCGATCTTCGTTACTACGGTATCCCCGACCTCCAACGCCACATCGAGAACCTCGAGGCGAAGAAAGCTGAGATGGAGGCTCAGGCAAAACCTGTACCTGGTTCGGAGCCGTTGTTGACGGATGTCGTGGGTCCGGATCAGATTAATGAAATTGTTGCGAGGTGGACGGGGATTCCGGTTACGAGGCTCAAGAGCACGGAGAAGGACAAGTTGTTGAATATGGAGCGTTTGCTTGCGAAACAGGTCGTTGGTCAGCGCGAGGCTATCACGGCTGTCTCGAATGCAATCAGGTTGAGTCGCTCTGGATTGTCGAATCCGAATCAGCCGATTGCGTCGTTCCTGTTCTGTGGTCCCTCGGGAACTGGAAAGACGTTGCTCACGAAGTCTTTGGCTGAGTTCTTGTTTGATGACGAGAAGTCTATGATTAGGATTGATTGTACGGAGTACATGGAGAAACACTCTGTGTCAAAGTTGATTGGAAGTCCGCCGGGGTATATTGGACATGATGAGGGAGGTCAGCTCACGGAGCAGTTACGTCGGAAGCCGTACTCTGTTATCTTGTTCGATGAGGTGGAGAAGGCGGATCCGTCTTTGTTGACGGTTCTTCTTCAGCTTCTTGATGATGGTCGAATTACGGACTCTAAGGGTACTGTCGTCGACGCAAGGAATGCATTGGTTATTCTGACCTCCAACCTCGGTGCGGAGTTCTTGACTGATGCGCACGCTACGCCTGATGGTAAGGTTGATGCACCTACGAGGGAAGCTGTCATGGGTGCTGTCCGCAGGTTCTTCAGGCCTGAGTTCATCAACCGTCTCTCTGCCATCGTCATGTTCAATAGACTCGCCAAGCGTGAGATCCGCAAGATCGTCGATATCCGCCTCCAGGACGTTCAGAAGCGTCTCGAGAGCAATAACAAGAACGTCCGTATCGAAGTCGATGACAAGGCTAAGGCATTTTTGGGAGAAGCTGGTTACTCGCCGGCATATGGTGCTAGGCCACTCAACCGTGTCATCCAGAATGAGGTCCTGAATAAGTTGGCTGTCATGCTTCTTCGTGGACAGATTCAGGATGGTGAGGTGGCGAATGTTACGTGTCCTGATGGACACCATATTGAGATTCTTCCGAACCATCAAGTTGGTGAGGAGGGAGTTACGGGGGATGAGGATGATGAGATGGATTATTCGGATGAGGATGAGATGGAGATGGAGCCGATGGATTAGGGGAATGGAGTAGTCGTTGAGCGCATAGTATAGATACCCTTTATTCTTAGCCATTCAGCTGGTCTTAGTAATGGAATTGTATTTTTCTGAACTTTGAAGTTCCACACTGTGTTCGGTTGATAAGTACGACGACGTTGCATGAGGTGCCTCTGACTGGCTAACCTTTGGGTGCGTCATCGTCGGCCCAAGCAAACGAGACGAAATCAATCGCAACCAACACTCCATTGAAACCCGTTCGGATCCATCCATTCACGTACGAATGTCCGTGTCGATTTCCCCTTGGTTTTCCGAGGCGTCGTACTGACAGTAATCATAGGGCTGATTACGGATCTTCGCGCAATGTCGACCACAGCAGGGCAGAAGGTGATCTGGTCATTAACATCAAGAAAGCAACAAACGCCGAGGAAACGGCACCGAAGCGCAAGCATGTGAGAAGCTGTATTGTGTATACGTGGGATCACCGCTCGTCGCAGTCGTTCTGGGCTGGACTCAAGGTGCAGCCGATTCTGGCTGACGAGATTCAGACTTTCAAGGCGTTGATTTGTGTGCACAAAGTGCTTCAGGAGGGACACCCGGTTACTTTGAGAGAAGCTCAGGCTCAGACTGGTTGGCTGGATACGTGTACGCGATCAGTGGTGGGAGAGGGTCCTCGTGGCTACGGACCTTTGATCCGTGCCTATGTCGACTTCCTTCTCGCTAAGCTTCAGTTCCACCGACACCACCCCGACTTCAATGGGACGTTCGAGTATGAGGAATATATCGCCCTCAAGATGATCAACGACCCGAACGAGGGATATGAGACGATCACCGACCTGATGACTTTGCAGGATAGAATTGAGGCTTTTCAGAAGCTCATCTTTGCTCACTTTAGGTCCGGATCTAGCAACGAATGCAGAATCTCCGCCTTGGTTCCTCTAGTTGTCGAGAGTTACGGTATCTACAAGTTCATTACCAGCATGCTTCGTGCCATGCACGCCAACACCGACTCCAGTGAGGCCTTGGAGCCTTTGCGATCCAGATACAATGCCCAGCACTACCGCCTCCTCAAGTTCTACTACGAGTGCTCCAACCTCAAGTACCTGACCGGATTGATCGCCGTACCGAAGTTGCCTCAGGACCCACCAAGCCTTATCGGCGACGATTCCGCTCCTTCGCTGCCAAAGCGTCCCGTTCAGGAAGCTCCTCGCGAACCCTCTCCTCCAGCACGAGCTGCGCAAACAGACGCTGAGCCGATACCCGACTTCTGGACCAACCAACAGCTTCAACAACAGAGAGAGTACGAGGAGGAGCAGCAACGATTGCAGCAAGAACGTGAGGCCGACATTCAGAGACAGCAGATGATGGCTTTGCAGCAACAACGTGACTTCGAGGAGCAGCAACGATTGCTTGCGGAACAGCAGAGGATGGCACAGGAGCAGTTGATGCGGGATCAGTATCAGCAGCAGGCTCAGGGTCGGTTGGCGGAGCTGGAGAGAGAAATACTCAATATGCGGGGTCAGTTTGAGCGTGATCAGTTGATGTTGGAGCAGTATGACAGACGTGTGAAAGCTCTTGAGCTGGATTTGCAGCAGGTGAATGCCAACGCTTCGCAACAACTGCACTCTAAGGACGAACTCATCGCGGCTCTTCAAGAGCAACTTGCCACCTGGCGAAACAAGTACGAATCTCTCGCAAAGCTTTACTCCCAACTACGCCAGGAGCATCTTGATCTCCTCGCCAAGTACAAGTCAATGCAGCTCAAGGCAGCCTCTGCTCAGGAAGCCATTGACAAGAAGGAGAGAATTGAGAGGGAGATGAAGGCGAAGAACTTGGAGTTGGCTGACATGATCCGTGAACGTGATCGCGCCCGTTATGATCTTGACAAGTTGAAGGGTGGGCAAAGAGAAGAGGTCGAGAAGCTGAAGCGCGAGCTTCGGTTTGCTGAGGAACGTGCGGAGGCGGCTGAGAAGACGAAGAGCTCGGAGGTTACTACCATGTTGTCGAAGTACAATCGGGAGATGGCCGAGCTTGAGAGCTCTCTGCGGGCGAAACAAACCGCACTCGATGAAATGTCAGCAAGATTGCGTCAGAGTGTGGATGAGAACGATCGCGCCTTGCGTGAGAAAGATGAGGAGCTCGAGATCTACAAGGCTGGAATGGATTCTACTCTTCTTCAGCTCAACGAGCTTCAGCTGAATCACGCTGAGGGCGACAAGGCTTTGGACTCTCAGATTGATAACGTCCTTTTGGATCACCTGAGAAAGTTGAACGACATTATCGATGCTGTCCTCCAGAGCGCAGTGCAGAGAATCGACGACTCCTTGTACGAGCTTGACTCCCCAATGCAGGCGGGCAACCAGAACTCTACCCCGGAATACTTGCTTTCCATGATCGAAAAGTGCAGTTCCAGTGCAACTGAGTTCGCCACTGCGTTCAACAACTTCATTGCTGATGGACCTAATGGAAGCCATGCGGAGATCATCAGGACTGCTAATGTTTACTCAAGCGCTGTCGCTGACGTCTTGACGAACGCGAAGGGTATCATCCGTTTAGTGTCTGATGAGAAGAAGGAGGAAGCTGTTATTGGTGCTGCGCGAGACTCCGCTGTTAAGTCGCAGCGCTTCTTTACGGCACTCGCCTCATACCGCCTGACCGGTGTTTCGCCCGATCAGAAGACTGAAATTGTCATCATCAACAACCTGGAGGCGCAGAAGGCTTTGCAGAAGTTGTCCAAGCTCACGGAGACCATTGCCCCCAAGAACGCCGTGGACTTTGGTGCGAAGGGTGATCTCGGTGATCTTGTCGACCGTGAGTTGAACGAGGCCGCGAATGTCATCGAGAGGGCTACTGCAAGGTTGCAGGCACTCTTGGCAAAGCCAAAGGACCCGCGATTCTCGTCGTCAGAGTTGCAGGTGCACGAGACCTTGCTTGGATCCGCTATGGCAATTACGAACGCCATCGCACTTCTCATCAAGGCTGCTACGGAGTCGCAGCGTGAGATCGTCGCCGAGGGACGTGGTAGCAGTTCTAAGGCTGCTTTCTATAAGCGGAACAACCGCTGGACTGAAGGCCTTATTTCTGCCGCCAAGGCCGTTGCTGCTTCGACCAACATCTTGATTGAAACTGCCGATGGTGTTATCAGCGGTCGTAACAGCCCAGAACAGCTCATTGTTGCCTCCAATGAGGTGGCTGCTGCAACTGCTCAGCTTGTGGCCGCATCTCGTGTCAAGGCTTCCTTCATGTCTAAAACTCAGGAACGTCTTGAGAATGCCGCCAAGGCTGTAACGAATGCTTGCAAGGCTTTGGTGAGGCAAGTCAAGGAGATCGCGGCTTCTCGATTCCAGGACCAGGATGACGGTGTTAACTACGGAGCAATGGCACCGCACGAGTTCAAGGTGCGTGAGATGGAGCAGCAGGTCGAGATCTTGAAGCTTGAGAATGAGTTGACTCACGCAAGACGCCGGTTGGGAGAGATGCGTAAGATCTCGTATCAGGAGGAGTAGTTCGGTGACGTGTGAGTTTGAAGAGGAAGTAGCTTATACTTAAAATACAATCCGCCCGTTTAGTGACAATTGCGAGTAGTATTGGTTGGTGCTCCTAACCGCAAGAAAGGCTTTGATTTGGGTTTCCCTGGCGACCCGGGCGCTTTGCTGGGAGCACCTCGCCTGTGCAAGCTCATGCAGCAACAATCACAGAACCAAAACAAACGCCGGTGAAGTGCTACACCAGGACAACAAGAACACAGACAATGAGCATGGCCATGGACGAATACTTGAAGTAAATGAATGCTGTCTTTTATTATGGGTTACGAAATACTGACGCGATTTCCGTCGTAGGACACTCGGAGAGCACCGAAATGCTTTGGATCAACTGAGCATCAACTGTCAACTTCACGACTATCTTCATCGCGCATTCGGTACCGAAGGTCCTGCCGATGCGTCAGACACTGGACCAAACCCTTTTGCTTTGGATGCCGACTTGAAGCATTTCAAGGTAAGCCCTCTGTCGCTCTACGCTCTTGTCTGGCTAAAGTGTATGCTAACGTCTCTCGATAGGAACTCTTCTCCAAACTGAAGTTTAGCTACCTGGAACAAGAAACAAAGGAGAAATATCTCCATGCCATCCTAGATGATCCTCCATTGGTGGTTGAGTCCAGGCATAACGTCGAGATTGGTATGTCCGCACCTCTGTCATTCAGTTTGACACGCTCACACATCTCAACAGAGCAGGCAAACCTTGTCCACAAACAGAGACTGAAGGAGCGCAAACGTGAGCTTGAAGCGATCCAAAGTCAGTTGATAGCAGTCTGTGAACGCGCCTGTGATGGTAAGGGGATCAAAGAAGTAGGATGTTAGTACGATTGCTGATGTCGACCGCAGACCGCAAAGCCCTCTCCGCCGACATGTCTGAGGCAGAAGAATTACTGCGGGACCTCACAGCCATGGAGGAAGAGCTTGCTCAGATCTCGAACGAGGAAGACATAACGGAGCAGGTATGTATACGAGCATTTTGTCGGTTACCAGTTCCTAACATCGTTGCAGAACCTGCCGCTCCCAGATTCTATGGCCATCCTTGAGTCGAGGGAGAAGGACAACGAAGAGTTGCTGTCATTGGTCACTCAGTTGAATGAAGCGAAGGAGACGAGTTCTGCGCAACACGAAGATGCGGTAGAGGAATTGGCAAAGCTGCAGAAGATCGTCGAGACCCAGGAAGCACGTGCGAAAAGCGCACTGCTCAGCAACGTCGAGGAGTCGTGTAACAAAGAAGGGGTTGGTAAGTGGTACAGAGCGGTCATTGAGATACAGTCGGAGCTCGGCGCAGCAAGTCAGGCGTGATGGTTTATCAGTAATATTGAGCACGTAAACTTTCTCAAAGTCCATCGCGAAAGCTCCCTCATTCCTTCCTAGTAGCTTGGAATATCCGCTGTCCCCCGTCTTCGCCAAAACTCTTCCGTCTACCCCAATTTCTTGGCTGATGTCTTAAGAATGCACCCACGGCACCCAGGTATCCCTCGTGTCGCAAGAAATACGCCCGCTTCGAACCTTGTGACCAAAATCGAATTGCGTAAGAGAGTGTGTTCATAGTCGCTGTATGTCCGCGAATAAATGAGCCTCCAAAATAGATGTTGTGGATATCGTGCTTCGTTGCCTGTAGATATGCGATCTGACCGATATTGTTACTGTATGCATGTCAGTCCGTGTATAATACAATCGAAAACACAATGCATACCTGATAGCGAAAAGCAAACTCTTGCTGATATCCTCTGGCTTGAACTCCGGCTTTCCAGTACCATTCGAAGCACTCATGTTCTTCTTAAACACTTTCCCGAACGTACTCGCTATCGTCGTCGATTTGAGTCCGATACGCCCGTAATCAGTCCCGTAGATATCGCCCACGAGCATGTCAACAGCGGTGTTGTCTCCTTTCTGGGACATCTCCAGCATATCGTCGAATGACTTGGCGCCTGTCAGTAGAGATAGAAGACCCCATAGGGTACCGCCTCCTAGTGATGATCCACCTATTCTTTCGAATTCATTCGCGCCGGGGCCGGAAACTTTGATCATGCTGACGCCTGACCCGATGTTGACTAACAGATAGGGATAAATGTCTTCCCGCGGTTCTTCGAATGCCATGGGGTTTTCTTCGCTGTAGGTGAATACCTCGTCCGGAATCTCCGTAATGAAGAAGTCAAGTCCTGTAGGATCGCTGTCAGACGAAGCATTGAAGTTTCAACCAACACTAATCCTACCTGATATCAGACACTCCATCTCATCCTCCCTCACGATCTCACAACCAAGCTCACTCTTCAGCCGATCGTAAAACAGATATGCCCCACCTCCCGTCGCCATCACACACATCTCATCCTGCCCCGCCGATCCACGGCCCCCTCGTGTCTTTTTTCCAGTTCCGGTATTTCTAGGTTGTTGTTGCTGTTCTCTTCTGCTATCCACTAGTTGTTTCAGGAAAGCGATACAATCCTCGATATCGTCCGTTTCGAATTTGGTGAAGTTTAGGCGACCGCCGAGGCCGTCTTCTGGTGCGCGGTTAAAGAATACGACTTTTGCCAGCGTACCTCCGATCTGTGTTCATGCAATCAGCCCGTGACTTTCGATCTGTTCGGAAAGGAGATGCGCACATCGACTGCGATATGGGACACTTGCTTCGTGTGGTTGGGTAACCGGATATCTCGGTTTCCGGCATCGTCATCCTCAGAAGCCGAATCGACAATCTTTGCGCCCGAGACGTTTATGCGAACTACATCCCTTTCCCATTAGTATCTGTCACCCGACATAGAAAGGAGAGATCAGCGACAAACCTGCACTCGGCCTCGGCGGGCTCGGTAATGGAGTGCCAGGTTTCGGCGGAACCATGGGTTAATAATCAGGAACTTTGGGTGTCGGAGTCGGCTAAGGCACTGGTGTTTGGTAAGAGGGCCAGGGAAGGGTGTTCGTCTTATATGAGGTGTTGGGGTATTTCGCGAGGACTTTTGGAGGTCGAGCATGCGATGCGGGGTACCGGTACAGCACCGGTACTCCCTGCGTGCTTGGAGGAAATACACCTGATTGATTATTAACAACTCTCGTCCAGCACCGCATCGCCACAAGATGTTCAACAGGACATGCTTACGACCAAGTGCCAGCTCTAGGCTGATCCAGTCCTGGGCACCCACGCAAAACACCACCATACTCGCCCGATGCCTGTCATATACCCCGCCACGCTTCAATGCAAACGCAGACTCGGCGGGATTCGAGCAAAAGGAGGATAAATTCGCGTTCGCTAGAAGGGGTGTCAAGGCGAAGGGCCGGTCAAAGCTGTTCGGTTTCATCATTGGTAAGAAGTCTCGTACGCAGCGTGGGGCTGGTAAAAAGGCGCTGATCGTGTGTTTTTACAGCTATGGTCCCCGTAACCGGATTCGTACTCGGAACATGGCAAGTCTACAGGCGAAACTGGAAACTCGAACTCATCGAGAAATATGAAGCACATCTCGATTTGCCACCCGCAATCCTTCCCCCGAACCTCGATGCTACGAAGGCTGAGGAGTTTGATCACCGTAGAATCCTCATGAAGGGCCAGTTCCTCCATGACCAGGAAATGCTCATTGGTCCACGTCAGTGGAACGGGGAGACTGGGTTCCATGTCATCACGCCATTCCAACGAGATGATGGTACCCGTGTTCTCGTTAACAGAGGCTGGATCCCGCGTGCGAGAGGGGATAAGAGTACGAGGCCGAAGGGATTGGTGGGTGGGGAGGTGGTTATCGAGGGTCTTGTAAGGCCGCCGCCGGGCAAGGGGTATTTCCAGCATGAGAATGAGCCTAATAGGGGGTTGTTTTACTATTTGAATCTTGAGGAGATGGGAGGAATGGTGGGTGCGGATCAGGGCTTCTTCGTTGAGGAGATCTTTGGTATGTGAAGGTCGGAAAAGACGCACTTGTTGTGATACTAACGACTTTCACAGACCCTAACCGCAGTTGGTCAGACAAGTTCATCGTTGATGGCAAGCCTATCGGCCGTGTTCCTCAGGTCAACCTCAAAAACAACCACATGCAGTACATTATCACTTGGTAAGCAAAACTCCTGTCCTTCGATTGTCTCAATCCTAACTCCTTGCCTAGGTACTCGTTGGGTGTGATCACCTCCTTCATGCTCTTCCGCCTCATGCGTCAACCAGCAAATCGTGTGAAGATGCGTGTGAAGGCTGCTTGAGAGTCTAGGACCTTTTGTTGGATTTGCTTCGCGTCTGTGCATGGATCTCATCTGCAAGTTCACGTGGCAGATGTCGTTGTGCGAGAGTACTGAGCGTAGTTTTGCTTCCTACCAAACGCTGCCTGTGAGGGTGGGTGTAAGCTTCGTACGGTAAAGTCAATAAGATATGCAAATTACCTCCTCATGAGTTGCCATATATCGACATCCTCGATAGTCTTCCGTCCCGCATGTGTGGCATATGTTGCTGCATCTTCACTTGCTTGCTCGAAGAATGCGTGTGAAGCCTCTGTGATTGCATCGAGTGCGTCGACTGATATTGGTATCGCACAGTACTTAGTGCAGAGTTTCTTTACTACAGACCGTGGGAGTGCGGATACTAATGTGCCTCTCTTGGTGTATCTAGTGGATGGAAGTTAGCCGTGCTCCCTAGCGTGTGTGGTGATAGAGCCATACCTCTTGGGAACCATTTTGTTCTTCCTTGCCGTTCTTGCAGGTTTGTTGGTGGTGTTATGAGTGACAGGCCCCGACACCTGTGCCCAAGATAATGCTCCCTGGTCCAGGTCATCCTCACTCTCAGACTGTCTAGCACCATCCAGTCCCTCGATATTTTCTCGTGTTCTTAGAAATGCTGCTCGAAGGTCCAAAGTGTCCTGTTCCGGATTGATCGTATGTCTCCGCTCTTCCTCCATCTCAACCATATCGTCCTCCATGTTCTCAAGGTCGTAGAGTTGGTTCCCTACAAAGCTCCCATCACCTATGGAGTAGTCTCCAGCATCAATGAATGCGGCTAAGCTGTCGTCTCCAAAGGCCATACTCGATCGCAGGTTACTTTGTCTGCGACCGGCTTCGACGGACATCACCGTGTGCATGGTCGTATCGCCTCCTTCCGTGTACCCACCAACCTCGCCTTCTCGGGGAGATTTGAGAGCAGCCAAGGAGTCCAGCCTGACGTCATTCGCAGGTGATTGCGGTGACCTTTTGTCCGCTACGAGCGGCGAGGGGTCTGGAAGAGCAGCAGGACCGGTATCTTTCCGGATGGGGATAGAATATCGTCGAGGCTCTATGACTTGGATTGACGTGTTTGCACGATTGATAGAAGCTGTCGGTTGATTGGGAGTTTCATTGGCCTTTACAAGCGGCCCAGCAGGTGTAGGAGCCATATGGCGTTGAAGGGCTAAACCGGTGAAATGCGATTAGCAGAACTCCCACAATGGCTTTAAGGGTTACGCACCTTTAGACAGCGCTCGTAAGTCATCCCGAGGAGTATACGTCGCGACACCTCTCAACTTTCCGCTTCTCCGTCGGCCAGGCGTGGCACGCTGTTGCAAAGCACGGACTGTGTGTGGTGTAGGTGCGCCATCTCGGGGTCGCCGAGGTGTCTGTTGTAGGGTTCCTAAACGCGCAGCTGAGGTTGGTAACTCGGATATAACGCGACGTGGAGTTTGCAAGGCTGTCAATCGTCGCGCGGTCGCGGGTGTCCGTGTAGTGTTTTCGTTGTTGGCCTACCCAAAGAGCATCAGCAAACGCGTCCGTCTCCGATCTTTCACATATTGCGCATACAGTGGTAGCAGTGCGCCGTATGGGAGTGTCCATGTCGATGGTTGAATGCTGAGGTTTGGCGGTTTGTTTACTCTTCGAACGCGTCGGGACTGCTTATGAGGCCTCCCTGCATGGCCCCAGCGATACTTACAGCTGGTTGCAAAATGCTTGTCGCAACCTGCAGGTAGCTGCACATGCTCCGTAAAGGCTCATCGTAAAACCAACAGAACAACTCCATTGAAGGCCTAGGAAGGTCGCAAACGGTTTGAAATGCTCGGTGAGATATGCGACAATAACACACGGTCCATAGTTATCGAGAACTACATCGAGGGCTATGATGTTCACCAACTCAGTGAGATCATCAACCGATCGGTACGAACCATTTACAGGATTGTCAAGAGATTCGAGGAGGAAGGCACCCATGAGCGCCTCCCTACCACCCACTGTGGTAGGACGCCTCAGATTGACTCCCGCATAGGCATGGTAAGTGACCTGCCCCATCGAGGACCTTGGCTGAAACGCTGGGCATGGCATGACAGCATATCAAGGCCCTGTATGATCTGAACCCTACCCTATACCAGGATGATTGCGCAGAGTTTATGAACCAGGAATTTGCCACTTCACTATCGAAGTACCATGTCTGTCCATACCTCAAAAAGATTGGATATACTCGAAAGACTCTTACGCTAAGGGCAGCAGAACGGAACGGCAGTTTACGTGCGCAACACGCCATATCAATGGTTGAATACAGTCAAGAACAACTGGTCTTTCTCGATGAGTCTGCTGTCGATGAGAGGACTGCTACCCGGAAATTTGAATATGCGCCAGTCGGTACTAGGGCGATTGAGGAGAGACCGTTTGCTCGAACCAAACGTTGGAGCGTATTGCCTGGACTTACCTCGACAGGGCTGCATGCTTTATCGGTCGTTCAGGGATCCTTCAATACTGATCGATTTGTCGAATTCGTCGAACATGAACTGCTACCAATTCTCAACCCCTACCCTGGTCCGAACAGCGTGGTTGTCCTTGACAACTGCCGTATCCATCATGACGAAAGGGTATATGAACTCATTGTTCAGCGCGCTGGATGTCGAATCCATTTTTTGCCGCCTTACTCACCAGACCTCAATCCAATCGAGCTCTGCTTCAGTATGATGAAGGCCTGGATGAAGCGCAACAATAAGCATGAGTTAGTTCGATCAGACCCTGAGGGTTACATACGCTGCGCAATCGACTCAATCAATGAGCACCCTGACAAGATCCGCAACTTGCATATGAACTGCGGTTATGCATTGTCAGATGCAGAGTTACGTCGGTATGTCGATTATAACAACCAGGTCACTATTGATGCTAGGGCATCTATGTAGTCACTTTTTTCTAGCTTGTATGAGTAGGTTTTCGATCGAAGCAATACATTCGTTTATTTTCAGTAACCTGCCATTCTCACGGGCAGATTCCCTCACAAAATGGCTGTACATATGCCCAAATGCAATGCATGAAGACGTGGTTTTCAGGAACCACGACTCTAGTTGCAGCAAATTGCATACTACTTGAC